TACTCGTCAATACCACCCAATCATTTGTATAAATGATCCTAAATATTTAAAACTTACTACCTATCATGTACTCGCTTATAGCCTTAGTAAAGTAACATTTCTATAACTATCTCTCAAAAATATAATAAACATGGTGACATGACATTAAAAAGCGTCGTTATAATAAGTCTAATTATTTGAGTTATTCATAATGAAAAGAGTATACATTTGCTCCGAGTTTCTGATATCTTTGGGCAATAATAATGTTTATTGGAGATCTTTGGTATAATACTACTACGAGTAGTGTTTTATTTCTATATAATTCTAGGGTTACGCATATCATCAATTGATGATTTGTATATCATTTTAATATGATTTAATTGGTGAAAGTTTGTATTATACACTTAAGAATTATAATTAGCATTTATTCCACTGAAATTTCAAGTGAATTTTCTGAAAATTTATAAAATTAAAATATAAGGTTTTGTAAAAGAGACACAGCATTTTTTTTTGAAAAACTAGGCCAAATTTGTTCTGCTATAATTATTTATGACATACTAGTTTGTAAAACAAGGTCTTCCAATTATTGATTTCTTGTTTTGTTTTTTCTAACTGGCAGCTTAGATTTTCTATTATTTCACTTTTTATTTGAATTTCCATTTGCAATTGCTATAATAGAAAAATTTGTTTTTTTATGGAATACGAGCTGTTATAATAACATAAGAATTCATACTTTATCATTTTCCTTATACTTCTCCATATTTTTTTTCGCCAACCAATTATTATAAGGTATAACTGTTTTACATTTGTTTTTAGCAGGTTCATCATTAGGAACAGTTTTTATTTTCTTTTTTAATGTGCAACTTTGTAAGTTGATAAGTTTTTTTGTCAGATCGGCTGTTTTCTTGCGGTAAACTGACAATTCAGGTTGTAACACCTTATTTATAAGTGAAGGGAACATTTTAATCATATTTTAATACTTAAATCTTAAAATTCTATGTATATTAAAACCTCTAAAATATTCCACTGATGGATATTTATTGGCGTTGTTAGTAATTCTGCTTGAATAGTGTTTTGAGCACGTAATTGGTTGATTTTATTCCATGCCTGTAAATGCTTCATTTTTAGAATATTTTTCTTTTTCAGTTCATTTGTAAGCCGTTTATTGTCTTCGCTAGACAATAAACAATTAGACAAAAAACAAACAATTTAATATTATTTTTAACTGTGTAAAAATATAATTTTATCCTAACCCCAGATGAACAACATAAGATTTTTTTTGGATTTTCCACTTATAACGTTGTACTATGAACATTTGTTTAGAATCATTAATAATTTGAAATAATAATATTTTTTGCTAATTTGTCTGCATTAAGTTAGTAAAAATTTTTGTAAATCAATTTACTTATTTTGATTAAAATTTATCCCTAAATAATATCTGGAATGTATTTTTAAATATCACAGGTCGACAAAATTTAGTCATATATTATTAATGAAATTTTTTTTTTATTCTTATAGGTTTTTATTGATGCAAAATAAAATTATTGATTTTTATCTACCATTAATAATAAAACTTCGATTTGAATATTTGCAAATTTAATGTTTTATGTATAAAATATAAATAATAAAAAAAAAATATTTTATGTACCCATTTATTATGTCTATAGTATCTTGATTATATTTTGTGCAAAATATTATGTAATTATATCAAGCTTATTAAGTTTTATTAAGATTAAGTTGAATTTAACAGTATTTTTAAAAAGTTACAGATGAATTTTTCTTTTTATCTATTTTTATATACCATCAATAGATCAACTTATGACGAACTTAAAACAGATCAATATTTTACAGATTCCATTACTTAATTTTTGTGTACACATATATTGTAATTGTTAATAATACTTGTAAACATTTTATAAGAGCTGTAGATTGACATAACTAAAATGATAATGTANTTTACATAATTCAGTTTGATAAAAATTTTTTTTATTAATTTTATTTTTAATAACAATATAAAAATAATAAAATAAAATGTTATAAAGAAAAACTTAAAGTTAAAGCTGGACTAGCTTTAATTTTTCTGAACTTACTGTTAAACTCAAATTCAATGCTCGTTGAACGAAAAAGTTAAAGCTAATTAAACTTCAAATTGTATACAAAATATTATCAAAATACTATCAAAGAGTATTGAAGAAAAACATTTTTTTTAACTGGCATTTTATGTGTAAAAGAGCAATTTTGTAAAATCTCAAATTGTAGATAAATTATTGATAGTAGAAATTAACTAAGAGAACATAACTCTAATTTTTAAAATCAAAAATTCTATCAAAATAAAAAAAAATTTTAATGAACATTTTTCAAATTTTGTCCAGCTATGTAATATTAGTTTTATATGAATACCAAGTACCTTAATATTTTATTTTGCGATTTTAACGTTCTTATAATTTTCGGACCCTCTCTACAATCAATAGAATTATGTTCCTTAGTTTTCTGTAGAATATTCATTTCTTTTTCTAAAGATGCTTTTCTTTCTTTATTATAGCGACACAACTTCTCTGCGTGATCTTTTTCCATCTTCATCTAGTATAAAATACATGGCATTGAAAAAAAAATTGTTAGTTCATTGAAAATTAACTCTTTATATTTCTATAAACGAATTTAATAAATCATTAACTGTTAAATAATTTGGCTAGATATTGAGTGTTATTAATTGTTGTAAATTTATTTATAATTATATTAATGTACACTATATTAATTAATCTAGTACATATATTTATTATTAAAATATATTTCATAAAAATAGTAATTGACTTATTTGTTTCATATCCTTTATAATTATTAAAAAAGTATTAACAATAAAATTATTGAGCACATACGTGGTCTATAGTTTTTAAAAGCCTTTCGACCTCTTTATCTTTTTCTTTTGAGTTTTTTTCATTATCTTTATCTTTTGACCATAAATCAAGATATGCCTTATGGTAATAAGATAGTTTTTCTTCGGTTTTTTTATTCAAGTTTTCCAATTTTTTATATCTTATTTGGAGTTTTTTAAATCCTAAGAAAAACTATCAGTACTTAATAAATAATTTTCCGTGTAAGTACTATATATTTTAATACACTATGCAGAGTTAAGATTTGCAGAGCTCGGGGCAAAGTATAATTGCGGGGCTTATATGCCAGAAGGTAGGGGATCGGAGTAGGTTAGATTTCCAAGTAAAAATAATTAAAAAGTCATTTTTCATTTGGAAGGTACAGTAAACACTTTTCTTATGTATATTTCTATTTGAAAACAAAACCTTAATAGAGCAACTGTTATGTGGGGGTCTGATACAAGTACCTCGTTTGCTACGATCTTGAGTCAGTGAATATAAACATATTAAAATACTATATATACAGGGTGATTATTTCAGTATTAGCCACTCGATTTCTTTTTATTATTTTAAGACAATTCATTATTGGTTTTTTATTTTATATATTTCTTGATTAATTAATTTTTTGTTTTTATTGAATATGGCTTCGGCGTAAACATTAGAAAAATAAATATTAATTTAAATAGAAGTGAATTACAATACAAAATGAATGACATAATATCTTGAGGTAGAGCATGTGTAGTATTTAAATATTAAATCGTGAATTTTTATAGAATGTTACTTAAAAAACAAAAACTAACAAAATTAACTTTCTAAAAGTAACACTAGACGATTAAGACAAATACTAACAAAACTAACTTCTGTGATGAATCTATAAATATCTGTAAATATTCCAAAATATCTCAAACCAGTTTTAAGTATATAACAGAAAATGAAATCAAGATGTAGGAGACTCCGGTTGTGTCCATGATAATACGCTGCGTATTATTTATACGTAAATACATTTATTTTTATATTTTAACGTCCTATTACAAGCTTTAAGTGCGTGTGTCGGGTTAGTTTTTTATTATTTTTAGAACAAAAATTCTGTCAGATCATAAGATAAGGCTGACTACTTCAAGTAGTTCATATACAGGCTCAGGAGGTAATGATAAATTAAGAAGCAAATCTTTCTTTTATAGCGCATCTCAGGACTACTAACTATAAATATTACTATGACAACTTCTAATTTCAATAACAATCATCCCATCAAATCTTTATTAAACTGTCCTTTCTGGAAATGTAGTATAATGCAATAAAACAGTTTTCTGTAGTAAATTATTTTGTGTTCTTAAAAACTTTTCCCCTATTATTGAAATATTTTACAGTAATGATTAATTTAGTTTTGGCACTCAAATTTTTTTATGAAAAAAAAAATGAATTATAATACTTATACCTTAAAAAGGCAAAAGAATTTTTAAATAAATTTAAAAATATATTAAACGCAAAATAATTTATGGGAAATAATTTTCGAGATCATGTTATTCAAACAATAATAAAAACGTAAATTTAATAATATAAACACTTTTTCTAAAATGTTAATAGTTCGATTATTTTTCCGATCAAATACTTGAAGAATATAAAATATAAAATACTTTCTTTTTCAAATATTTGTATTTATGTCTCATATTAATTATTAAATTTTTAAACGTGTAAAGAAATACTTTGTAAATCACATTAGATGGTATAATCAAATGACGAATTTAAAAATATTTCTCAATTTAAATTTTAGAAATCAAGATTTAAATCAGAAGTTAATTACACTAACTTTTAAATTAATATATTGGAAGATAAATAAATTAAAGCTTATGTGGTAGAGAGTTCATCAATATAACTAAAATATTATTAGAATCAAATAAATAAAATCTTATATTGCCATAGATTTTAAACAAAAACAATCTGTCAGGCTAAATACTAAATCTGTACTATCCAATGATATTTAACAACAAATTTTAAACGAGATTAATAATCTTTATTATTATTTGAGAATAATAATCTCAGATTATTATTATCTTTGGACTAAAATAATGGTTCAGATTATTTGCAGATAATCCAGTCTCAAATATAGATTATTTTATAATTTAAAGAAATTTCTGAATGATTTATACAAACCTAATTTTGAAAGTTCTAGTTCTTTTTCTCTGAGTATTCTCATTTTTTGGTGATTTTTATAACCATGAGTTAACGTCCTATTTTTATTTATCCATTTTTCTGTATCAGTCTATTAGAATATATATATAATACATGAAATTAATTGATTATCGCAGCAAAGAAAACTTAAACAACTTTTATTATTTTTATAGTGATGAAGACTTTTTTTCGAATAATATTTCTACATTACATTAATAAGACAATGAAATAAAAATCTCTATTTCACAAAACATATAAACAATAAAATATCTGCCTTTAAAAGTCGACTAAAATTAAATTGAGTTTTTCTTTGCTGCACCAATTGTTATTAGTACAACGAATTTACTTTTTTTATAGCACATTTTTTTCTAAATTCTCTTTGTTCCGTCTCAAAAATAAACGCTCTTTTGTTAAGTATTTTTAACTCTTTAGTTTTTTTAATTAGCATTTTTTCGCATTTTTTTTTATCAGTAAGCTCATGATAATAATCATTATCTAGATGATACAATTCTTCATCTTTTTTTTTTACCGCATTCTTTAGCCTAAGATGAATATAATATTATGTAAAATTACTCAAACTCAAAACTTAAATGACTAATACCCTTCAACTGTCATTTCAAGTTCTTTGTTTTTGTGATTTAGTTTAATTTTAGAATTTTCCAATTTTTTTATTTCTGATTTAATTTCATTTATTCTTAGCTTAAACTCATTTTCTTTTTTTCCACATTCAATTCTTAGTTCTAAAATAAATAATATGATTTATTGAAATTTGATGATACAAAAAATACTAATAATTATTATTATTACTATATTAATTAGTATTAAAAACGAATAAATTGGTTGTATTTAGATTACAATTTATTGTATTTGTGTTATAAATAATAGTTTTTCACTACAAGAAAATTTATTTTATATTTTACATTTTTATTAAATTTAAATTTCGATGTGTAACTGATTTGATAATATTTTAAAAAATCTACCTTCTTTAAATCTAAATCAAATTGCAGTCAGTAAAATTTACTCTAAGGTTAAAAAAGAAAAACTATCTAAAATTTCGAATTCTAGAAGTTATTGGACGTTAAAGCTAAAACTCATGCAATTTTTGGTAAAATTTGAATATTTTGAAACTTTTTGATTACCAACTAAATATCTTCACCATAAATCAAATTTAATGTTTTTCTTGTGTATTATACTATTAAAAAAAGAAAAACGTTTCGGTTAACTATCCACTAAGAAAAATCAAAGAACATCTAGTTTTGGATAGATTTTGATAAATTTTTTTTTAATATTTTTCAAATGCGTATCGAAGCATTTTACGACAATGATTTTAATCACTCTCATATTTCAATCCACACCAATCTATAAAATGCTCTAACACCACTAGTTCCTTACTGCATTTTACTTTTTATCATTATTTTAGAATTATAATCTACAGTTCAGAATTTAATTATAAAAATTAAAAATAAAACTTTAAATTTATTTCTACGTCTAAAACTTAATTTACCTTCCTCGCGTTTTTCTACCCTTTCAAGTTTTTCTTTAAACCATTCACTGACGTTTTTATCATTTTCATTACTAGGATTGCATTTACATAGACGTTCTATTTCTCGCTTTCTTTTTTCACTTAATATTTTTAACTCCTGATTTCTCTGACGAGTCCCTTTAAAATTACTTTCCAACTCTTTGTATTTGGCTTCTTGTTCTTCTTTTTCCTTAATTACAGTTTCCAAATCCCGTTCAGATTTATTCAGTAAAGTTTGTGCACTCTNTTCCAAATCCCGTTCAGATTTATTCAGTAAAGTTTGTGCACTCTATCGTTAATTACAAAAAAAAAATATTTATGTAATAAAAATTTATCTAATAACTAATAATATTATTTAAAATTAGAACTATATTAATTTAAAACTAAATGTTATTAAAAATATTTAAATAAAAAAATGACTAAAAATCGCAGATACGTGCTGTGTTAACAGTGTTACATTATCAACACTGAATACACAATAACACCCTTACCTAAATAACTTACTTATATACTCCTAGTGACACTATCACGAAGTACTATTATCATATTTTGCCAGTTTACACAAGTTTAATAATAAAATTTTTAGTGGGCCAAAATTGCAATTAATTAAATTATTCTTATTTTTAAATATTTTTATTGCCTACCTTAAAGTCCTTGTAGTTATTTACATTTTTGATTTTTAATGTTTTTTAGGTGTTCTACGTGACTCCTATATTTATTTATTTTTTCTACTTTATATGTACAATAAATGTTACATAAGACAAACAAAAATAAATATAGGGGTCAGGTTTAAAAAGCACTTAAAAAAATTAAAAAGTTAATAAATCTCCAGTGGACTGAACATTTATTGACATATAATCTTTTCATTAAAATCACAAAACTAATTAAAAACGTAAATAATAACAAAGAACACTAAAATTGAGCAATATAAATGTTTAAAAATAAAAACAATTTAATTAATTAGGATCTTGGCCAACTGAAAAATTCATTATGAAACTTGTGTAAGCTATCAAAATACGATAATAATACCTAATGATAGCTTTACTAGGAATATATAAGAGAATTATTTAGGTAGGGGTGTCATAATGTATTTAGCATTGATTATGGTGTAACATTGTTTCCGAAACACTTATTTTAAACAATTTTTATTTTTAAATTAATATTTTTAATAATTAATTTGATTATAATCAAATAATTATTTTATAAATAAAGTATTTTATATATCCATAAAATACATAGACATACATGATCATAATAATATTTTCTTTAAATACCTCTTTATCTAATTTCAAATTCTTATTAAGAATATTCAAATCTTTGATTTTTGATTCTTGAAAAGTTATTTTTTTTTCATGTTGTGTCTCTTTATTTTTAAGAATAGCCATTTTCTTTTGAAGCATTGAGTTAATTTCCTATTAAACACATATAACCATAAATGTTATTGATAATTTTTTATCCATTTTCAAACCTTAAATTCTTTGACTTCTAAATTTCGTTCATGAAGGCTTTTCTTGGCATCTGCACATAATAAATCCCTTTTTTTCATTTCTTCATTAATTTCTTCTATGGATTCTTTAAGATATTTAATTACATTTTGTGAATCATTTAATTGCTTTTGAATTTTATCGTCGAAATGTTCCTACTTAAACAAAAGTAGGAACGTTTTATTATCAAATGAATTTTTTTAGAAATATTTTTAATATTAATGTACAATATATTTGATTTTTTTATTAAAATAAATGTGCTCTGATAAAGATTGAGCTACCCTCTACCTTGGCGCCACTTATAGCTATTTTATTGTTAAAATTTTAAGAACTTCCTTAATACATTATTATTTTATCATCAGTAAAAATAACAAAATGTGAAATTATTTTGGCATTATTATGCCAATGAAAATGAGTCATCATTTTTTACTAAAAATATATTTATAAATATATTTTTATATGGTTGTATATACCCATAATGGGTGCTTTCGACCTATTTAAATTTAATTTATTTTAAAAAAATGATCGATTTAAATAATTAAAAAATAACTTTAATTTTCTCAGAAACTAAAATATTTATTGTTTTTTCTGAAACATAGAGAAACTTAACGAATACTTTTACCGTAATTAACAATTTCGTAGAAAATTCAATTAATTCTACTTTTAACATTAAAACCTTGCCCATTTATTTTTACGAAGAATTATTATTGTCATCGGTAAATTTAACTTTCCTTTTTAAAAGTGATTGTTTGTCAGTGATTGATGCGCACTGCATCGGGTTCAAAACTCTGTTACGAGCGAGGGATTGGTTCAGCAATTGAAGTCGCCTCTCCCTCTCTGACGACGGACTTATCACCCGTCCCGAAGTATCAATGGTTAAGAAATCTCCTCATTTTGGAAAGGCAGCTATGGCCTTAATGGGGTTATGAAGCGTTAAAAAAAAAAAAAATAATAGTTTGTTATATTTCTTAAAAATACATTTTTTTGTTGCAACATTTACTCTAAGCTCTTTTATTTTTGCTTTGTGTTCTATTTCCATTCCTTCATATTTACTATTTAAAACGTAGATTTCATTTTTGAATCCTTCAATTTGATTTTTCAAAGCATCGTTTTCATCTTTAATTTTTTGGTTTTCTGCTATAAAAAATCCTTCATTACCTCTTTCTAATCTAAAATTAATAGTAATTGTAATAAAATGATTTTAACAGAGATATAGCTTAGTTAAAAAAATATATTTAATGTCAATAATGAGGTGTTTTATTTTCAAATATGTTTTTTGTGTTTCTTGGTGAAAATACGCAACTCTCACTGAACTAATTTTACTGATCTATACATCAACAGAACCTCAATTTAATCTAATTTACCCTGTCAGCATCAAAATTTGAAAAAAAATCCTGGTGTATTCTGGATCTCGACTATGCTAGTTACTGACTGTACTAGATTTATTAATTAATTACTTACAAATCTTCACGTATTTCTGCTTCAGATTTCAATTTTCTAAGCTCTTGTACTAATAAATACTGACTTTTTTGACAGTTTCGTAATTCAAACTTGGCTTTATTTTCAGATTCAATGAATTCATCGCAAATCTACAACAAATATATTTGTTAATAATTTTAACAATAAACTGATGACGATTGAATATATTAAATTATTAATCGAATTTAAAACTTGGTAATGTGTTGTTATCTAAATTATAGTAGCTCAGGGATCAGAAGGTTTTACCACAATTAAACAAAAAGTATTTCTAAGCTACAACATTAACGTACTAAAAGATTACACAAACTTAGGACCCATCAATGTTGTTTAAGCAAACTTTATAAATACATAAAATTTCGCACTCTACACAAACTTTACTAAGACTGTATTAGTTTACTAATTTATTCACTAATACAGGCTTTGCAAAGTCTCTCAAATTGTTGTTCAACAAGAACCAGAGCCACATCTGTTAGCATAAGATAAGGGGAGGAGATAAAAAAATTAATTTTACCAACTAAGTAATTGTATGACTTTTTTAAGTCTTTATTTTTAGCATTACTACACAAACTGTATACTTATGAAAAGGTTTTGCCCAAAGAGTTGAAATTCAAGAAAATTAGAAAAACTCAAATTTTCTTATACATTTTTACTTTAGGTAATTTTTTATTTTTATAATTTTATTTCTCAAGTAATAAAATTACAAGAAAGTTAATTAATTTTTTAGTAAAATTTCATAGAGAAATTTCGATTTTTTAAATTTATCTAATATATAATTTTTTGGACCAAATCCCTTTCATAAATGGACAACTTATATTCCTATACGATCTTTCACATTATCTACGCAGACACCAGACTACCTTATATCGCATTCATTAATATCCCTTCATTTTTTTTGGTCTTTCACTACCTTTTCTGGTCTTAACGTTCATTCTCATAACTGTTCAAAAAGATTCTGATTTTTCTTTCCTCATAACATGACCAAACCATCTAAGTTTATTTTCTCTCGTCTTATCCACGATTGATGCTACATCTATAATCCCTCTTATATGTTCGTTTCTTATTCTATCCTCTTCAGTCACTCCACTCATCCATCTAAACATTCTCATCTCTGCTACACTCATTCTCTGCTTTATTCTCTTATCGACCACCCAACACTCTGAACCATATATCATAGTTGGTCTCGCTACAGTCTAAAAAACTTACTTTTCAGCCTTTTTGGAACTCTCATAACACACCAGACGCTTCTCTACACTTCACCCACTCACAATTAATCCTGTGTCTTACATCCTTGTCAACACCACCGTTCTTTTGTACAACTGATTTTAAATACGTAAAACTTTGCACTTCTCTTATCACGTCCTCGCTTATTGTCACTGATATCCACATTTTACCTACCTCGCTTTCTCTTTTTTCAATCTTATACTCTATATACTTTATCTTTCTCCTACTTATTTGCTATTTATCAGCTTTTTTTCAAAAGTTGATCTCCACACATTTGATTAATTTATAATTTGCCGTTTCTAATCTATTTTGTTCAATACTATAAGACATGTATTAATACATAATAATTTCTAATAATATAATGATTATATTATTGTGGGTTATATCTTACAACACACAATTATTTAAATGGCGGTAGACTTTTATTAAACAAAATTATAACACTAAAATAGACGTATAAACACTAAAAGAAAATATATGTATATACAGTAAGGAAAAATAAAATAATCGAAGTAAACATAATACACGATGACAACAGCGGCGGGGTGTAGCGGTCGTGTAGCGTATCGCGGACTAGACAGTCTGAACTGAACTAACTAACTGACTGATTCTTCCGATATATATATAGCTCCGATAAGGCTCTCGCTAATTCTAGAATATTCTATACCCGCGTTGGTTATCTTATGCGTTATCGAAGTTTCTCGAAGGTTTTTGATAACGAGAACATTCGAGAATATTCGTTGCGTATGTTTTGGTCGCTACATTATATTATCATAAAGTTTATTACATATTAACATTAAATATATATAGTGCTATGTAATATGAATTGACTAACGCGACAAGAATTTGCCCATTATAACTCCTCAACTAATTAGTTAATGAGCGACATTTTAATTGCGATATTGTGTGAGATTTATCGGAGCAGATCCTAAAATTTTTTAAAAGATTGAGCAAAAAATTTTTAACTATCAAAATTAATAATATGATAATTTTATTGTTAAAAATACTTATATTTAGGTAGTCGATGATACTTAAAAAAATAGGGAATATTAGTCCAAGAAGAGAGCGCGTGCCTCCAGAGACCTTACCTAATCCATCTCCAGGTTAAATTACTAGTTAGAAATTGCATAAAATTGATTGTAACTTATAAATGATTATAAGTAATAATAATAACTAAAGAATTACATTTTATAATTTGAATTTACCTTGATTTTTGATGGGTCACTTTTATGTCCAACAGCTTGTTCTTTTAACACTTCGTTAATATCAGTGGTTTCTGATTCAATTGGATAATCTACAATCATATGATTGTCACGATCGATTATTGATTCACTCGAGTTTGATTGATCCATTATGATATTTTCACCCCAAACTAAATTATCCCATTTAATATTGATTAATGTATGCAGATAAAAATTCAATTGAATTTTTAAATTATTTAATACATCTAACTGTTATGATTTTAATTATTGCACGATGACTTAACAAAAATTTAAAAATTAACTGTTTGTTTAGGAACTTTGCTATAGTTACTATTAATTAAACTAAACTTAGTTCAAAGTAATTTTAGTGAAGAAATACTCAGATAGACTAGTTTATAAGAATATTGTAGTCTTTTATTCATAAATGGAGATTACTTGAAAAATGTTCGTGTTGTTACATTTAGGTGTTATACTTCTAATTACTAGAAATGTCGATTTTATTGTACTACTATACTTTAAATTCTTTTTAAAAATTATTCTTACATCATTCCTATTAATACTGAATCTAATGCACATAATTATTATAACATTAAACAAATTAATTATGTAGTTAAGTTTAAAAAATAACGTTCCATTGTACTAGTGGCAAGTCTTAGTAAAAGTAAGTTTTAAACTGTGATGAGTAATTATATAATTATGAAAATGTAGCGGAAGGGTTGGCTTATCGTTACTATACTTATTTAGATAGTATTTCAAGTCAGTTGCATTCTACCGTCTTTGCGCTTTTTACACAGGGAGTGATATTTTTTTATTACATCAATTTATTAAAAATTGAATATACTGAATACATTATTTTTGTACAATTAAAGGTGAAGTTTTATTTTTTCTACTGAAACACCTTAAAAATATAAAGTTTATTACAAAACAAATTATACAGTTTTCACCAAAATATCATAATGTTGGCTAATTAAAAAATTTGAAATACTATTCAATAATAAAATAAAGCTAATACTACATTATGAACAATTTTGTTTTAAATATAACTTACTGTATAAAAAACATTGCTTAAACGAATATTATTTAATTTTTTTTTTTTTTTTTTTAATGGCTTATAGAACAAAGATTTGCTCTCAAGGGGGCTTATTTAATGCTCCAAGACCATTTAATTATAGTGCTGAAACACGTGCATTTATAAATCGTAAGTACAAAGGTTCTTGTACTCATAAATAAAGAGTTCATTTAAGGTTAAAACAAAGGTTCTCAGCAAATTTAGAATATTTTCAATTTGTATAAAAGATAAGATTTTTAAATAACTTTGCAGTATTATATAATAAAATAACATTTTTTTTTCATCCCTCGAGTAATGAAAAACCTTAAAAACTTTTATAATCTTTCATGACAATTCCAATTTTTAGTTAGATGATATGACAGAAATTTCAACGATTTTTATTCTTATTAATTTTGTCATCCGATCAACAATTTGCGTTTTAAAAACGTTTTAGATTTAAAATAGAAATGTACAGGGCCGTATTAAAATCTATATGGGCTCCGGGACGATATCTTGAGATTGATCCTCTTATGGAAAAAACAGCTACCATAAAAAGAAATGATAAGCAAAAAACTAGGCTAGTAAAATTCGAGATGGACCCCTTATGCTCATTGGTCTGGGGGCGTTTGCCAAATATGATAACAAGAATTGTTAATAAGAAATTGTTTATGTGACACGATAAATATATCACGAGTACTGTTTGTGTAAAAAACAAATTATCAATAGAAAATTGCTTAAAAAATGATAAACTTTAACAAGTCATAATAGAAGAGTACTTGTAATAAACAAAAAAGATTAAATAAGTAAGAGCAGAGAGGGATAGGTCTGGTTATCTCAAACTATATTGAGTCATCGAATAATAAAATATCCCAACCTCACCTTTATTCTTGTTTATTACGTGAATTTTTAAGGAGTAAAAAATGCGAATAAATATTCGCACTTACATTTATTTACTTTATTAGTTGTCTGAATTAGTAACTTCTCCGCTCATTGTTAACAATCGTTTTTAGGATCTTGCGTTTATTTCGACTAATTAGATTTGTATGTATATTAGATCTTAATCATCAATACGCGCTTTAATTACTTGGACAATACACGTCGTTCATAAAATACGCACTTAAAAAGATTCTCTACGATGGAACCTGCGTCTATTATGATTAATTATTTACTCTATACTTTTCAAACTCTTTTCATATTATACTAGGTTTTTACTAATATTTTTCAATGAATTCCCTATTGTCGAAATCGATATTCTTAAAACTCGCTCTGAATTTGTCAAAATAAAATTATAAGAATATGTTTATTGATATTGAAAATATAACCAACGAGACTGTGTTGGCCCAGCGCTTCTCACCGTAAAGCTTTGGCTGGGCGGACACAGATAACCTCGTTAATATATATATATATATATTAAATATTATTACAATACATCTCTTGATATCCTATACATCAACTGCTTATATGTTACCAAAAAGGCAAGACATAGTCGCAAGACTGGCGGGTACACACGCAGAGGATATTTCCAAAATATAGGTTCCTATCGTTCTCATGTATTATGTATATATTTAGTAATGATCTATATCCTCCAGACTACTAACTCAAGAACTGGCTTGTCATTTATAATGGCACATTTCAAAATATATAATTAAAACAAATTTATGTTTTCAGTATTACTCTATATCCCAACTAATTGTATAATACCAAAAAGGCAGGACGTAGCCGCAAGACTGGCGCGTAACGCGGACAAAGAGTACTACTACTATACTAATTAATATTAATTACAAAATTACGCTTCTCCACTATGTTTGGCACACATAAGGCTGTCCAAGAGTGGAGGGTACAATGATGTTTACAAACATAAAATAAATAAAAAGTAAAGCAATTATTTCTGAATAAATAAAATTACGGCTCTTCACTCTGTTCGACAAATTTAAGGCTGTTCATGAATGAAACCATAATAATATTTAAAACAGTTCACCAAAGACATAACTATTATATCTAAATAAATGTCTTCAGATAGAGTGAAAAAGCATAATAATATTAATATTATTATGCTTTTTCACTCTATTCAGCACACTAGGCTGTCTAGAAATGAAAGACAAAAATATTTGAAATTATTAAATATAATAAAACAATATTACTTTCTAATGAAGATATGGGGTAAAAATAAATAAGACTTATTTCTGGGAAAGATACTTTAAATCATCTAAAAATAATAATGTTTACTATTTGGGGTCATGTATTAAAAAAAACAAGTCGTAAGAACAAAATATTTATTTGTAAATATTTACTTCCCTGTAAGATAATATTGACCAAGAACATCAATAATCTGAGCTGAGGAGCGAGACATGTTCACCAAATTGAGAAGTAATTTTTTTAGGTAAAAATGACCATTTTATATTTTGGATAAAGTAAACCACCGATCTCCAGTGAAATTTCTGAGATGCTATATAATGTTGTTAATAAATTGTAAGGGGCTGGTTTGAACACATGTGTTAATAAATGATTACTTTAAATACCTTAAAAGTGAACATTCCTTAGATAACTTTTGCTTTATTCTTATTTGTGTGATATTTAGATCATATGCTTATGATAATACTACATACTAATCGAAAAAAAAATGTAAGAACAAAATGTTTTTTCTATCATATCATAAACTCAAATTATTGGTTCTCATTAAAGAAAATTAATGTTTAGATTTTTTAAACTTGAAGGGATGAAAAAAATATTATTTAAATACATAATATTGTAGAGTTTTTTATTCAAACAATTGTTTCCTTCACGAAAATAAAAATGTTTTAATATTTTTCAAGACAATAAGTGTCTTATCCTTAATCAATAATTAATAAAACATCTTGTAATATTGCTAAAGTACACAGTTATATACAGTTTTTTTAGAGTAATTGAAATAATTTTTTTTTTTTAATTTCACTATTAAAATAGTTAATAAAAATATTACATCGTTTTTAGATCATAATAAACTAAAATTGGTAATTTTTATTAATGTCTGAACAAGAGTATGGCGAAGTTGTTAGTTACAAAAATCTTTAATAATTCCCAAATTTTAGAGTATCAACACAACGTTCTAGAATTAAAAATTAAATTTGTCTTTTATACAACAGTTATTTGTAAAAAAATCCATATTTCATTTGAAACGAAATTTCTTGATCTACTTAAATTAAAAAAAAATTAATCACATATATAGAGTTGATAAATGAAAGCAAGATGACAACATTACAAAGGAAAGCTGTAGGAAATTTATTTAAAACAGGAAAACAACCCATTCCGGAACGAACTGATTTGAGACTATCGGCTAAGAGCACGCCCATTAAGAGATACCGATCATCAAAACCTAGAACATTAAAGAATATTATTGAATCCGGAGCTTATGAACCCGATATATTTCTCCCTGACTTGAGAACAAGTGAAAATTGATATTAGTTGATAATTATAAAATAAAAATTTAATTCAATACAAAATTTTTAATAATACATAGAAAATTATAATTTTGAAAAAGAAAAATTACAAAGTATAATGGCATTTGGTAAAATTACCAAATTGGATCCCGTTCAACAAACAAAAAGAAAGATTGATAAAAAATCTAAAACATACACTGAAGAAGAGCTTATTGATTCAAGTAAATATCACGAACTAAGATAAAATGGACATGAGGCCTCATCAGGCGATTCGGTCTTGTTATACATTTACTGTAGAAGGAGTAATCTTGAAGTAACAGCGCCATTTATTATTTTACAAATATTTTCCCAATTCCCCACTGCGTATTTAAAATTTTTTATTCTTAAAACATGTTCGTCGCTAGAGCTTGTTGTTCGCCGAATATTCCTCCTTCTACGAATTTTCTATAACAAAACTGAAACGCACTTCCCATTCCCGCCGATTTGTGGGTGTCCAGTAGAGAACTGGGCACATCATTAAAACAATCGTTCGATTGTTATTATTTGCAACTGACTAGATTTAGATTATCGAACTACCGGATGAGATGTTCGGTTGAAAAATTAGTTAAAAATAACCTGAAACATTTATTTTGTATTTATACGAGTGGATAATAAGTTCCTGTCCAGATTTACCTCCAGTTATTAATAAATGTAGCTAAATCCAGTCATAAATGTAGCTAAATCTAATTTTTATCCAAACGACGATTTAACTCGATGAAAACATTTGATAACAAATATTCGATGCAGCCAAAATCTTAATTTACGTTCGGTCAGGAGCATCTCACATATTTTCCGCCTATAGGCATTTAAAAATTTGCCGTCCTTCATTATGTTATGACGGAGGGGGCACATTTTTATATATTTTTGCCGTAACAATACTAATCCTTCCTCAAAAAAAAAAAAATTTCAAGCATATTTATGTTTATTAATAAAATAAAATAAATTGCTCGTAGCTATTAATATACATATCATAAATACACAATAAATGAAAACGATTTAGATAATTATTAGGAGGAAGTCAATATGTTTAACAACAATAAAAAAAAATTATCGCATCTAAATAACAAAACCCAGCACAGTGGGGTCGTGGCATAGGTGGGTCTAGTATAGATGATATCTGACAGTGATTAAAATCACTATTATAAAAAACGCTTCGATGCAAATCTGTAGATAGTGTTTAATTAAAAAAAAAAAAATTTGTTAAAATAGCATATTTTTGAATACGGTAGCCATTTGCGCATAAAAGATAGGTCGTCGGGACAAATTTTTTTTTTCATTTTATAGCACATAAAATAAGCTTTAATTTGATATATGTTTAAAGGACGCAGTATTTCCGAAACATTTTCAAAAATTAAGTTGAAAAAGTTAGTTTTTGTAAAAAAGTTACTATTTTAAATCCCCCTCCATGAGCAGGTTAAGTGTTAGATTTTCAACAAAATGATATCAAACAAAAGGGAAATATCTAAAGTTTTAGTAGAAAAAAAAATTATGTTGATTTGTTTATTTTTAAAAAAGTTATGGAAGTTTTAAGAAAAAAAAGTAAAAAAAAAGACAAATTTTAGCGATTTTTAAATTTGTAATTTTTTTGGATATTTCCCCCATTTGCGGGGAACGAGGGAATTTTTTTCAATTTTTAAGGGTAATGTCTTCAACTAGATACGATTTGTGATCTTTTGACGTATTTTTGAAAGAAATCAATCCAATGAGAGCTGAGAAAAAGACATAAAAAAAAAAAAAAACACATCATAGTAAAATTAACATTGAAACTAATTAATACCTTCTTAGCTTCGCATCGAAGCTAATAACTCGCTTTTTATAAATTTATTAGCCTTCAATATTTGCCACCCCTTAAAGTATTTCGCAGTAGGCAGTTGCCTATATTGCTTGCATATAAATAAGCCGCTGCGTTAGGTTAGAAGTTGAAAGTAGAATTAGTCAGCTTATACTTACAGTATGAATTATACAACATTGATTGTTTTAAAAGTCGAAATAGTCTTTATTAGCAATTAAATTAAAGTTAGTAGAGTATACTTTACAGCCATACTTAATGAATCACAATGTTCGCTTATACAATGTATAAAAAAATTATGAAATGACCGATACTGCGTATTGAGAGTAGTGAAAAGATGGTGAAGAATTGCAGAGAAGTTAAGTAAAAGCATCGGATTTTCTCAATAACATCAAGTTATTTTGAAAGTAAAATAAAATAATAAAAATTAGTCATTTTAAAAATGTGTTATAAATAATTTTAAATGTTCTCACGACGTTAAACAAATATACATATATATATATATAACATCACAACAAACTAAATTAAGACACTTTAAATAACACAAACTTTCAACTATATCGTTAAACAAAAGAAATCTTAACGTTTTAAAACTTATAATATAAAAACGAAAAGAAAATGTTTATTTCAAACTTTGCTTATACACTCTACTAAAAATTTTAATTTAGTAGAGCTAAAACAGATTTTTATAAGTTTAAAAATTCGAAAATTTTGATTGCTATAGTATTTGTTAACTATATATTTATTAACTATTAACATCACTTTAATATACAAGATTTTACAAAATGATTTTTATAACTTTTTTACTTTGTTAATAAAATAATCAATATATTACTGCGGAACATGCATTTAGATTTAAATTCACCATTACCAAGTTATATCAAAAATGATTCTCCTTCAACACTCATTCAAAAATATAAAACTTTCAGTGAATGTATACCTATATTTTTCTGGTGCCTCCAAGGGAACAACATCGTTTACTTAATAAAATGTTGATCGATCTCCTTTATTCACTCCTTAATACACTTCTGTTTCTTGTAACAGATTATTTTAATTTAAATGCTAAAAAAAAACCGAACTTATTGTACTTAGTTATATTGGAAATCGAAAATCGCGAAAAGTTCCTTATTGATATGGAAATGTTGGGTAAAGAAGCTATGTACCAAGACTCTATAATAAATGAAATACATTTTCACATAAAACATTTGCAAGAATTTTACAGAAAAACTAATTCATACTATCGAAAAGTGGAAGTGGAAGAAATAGCAACAAAATATCATTCTATATTAAAAATTCACTCAAAAACATTTGATAATCCAGTCGTCCACAAAAACTAAATAAAATAGCATTATTATATATACCTACTTAAAGATGATTTATAAGCTTTCTGAAAACTATTAAAAAAGTATAGAGTGCAATAAAGTAGTCAAGTTAAACATACTTTACATGAGTATTTAACTAAAAGAAAAATCTTTGCCTTGTAATTGTTTTATAACCCTACTTTTTAAATAACTAAATTTTATAATTACAATCTGATTATAATTTTGAAATAAATTTATAAGGATACTAATTTTTTATTCAAAATACATACAAGTCTTTAAATTGAAGTTTATTCACACTTTATATATATAAAAAATACATTAGTATATTAAAACAAAATTTAAACAACATACAAATATTTTTACAATTTTTTTCCAACAATAAAAATATCATGTAGAAATAACAAATTACCTTAATAAGGAAATCAGAATATTTAATAGGGAAATAACATTGCTTGCAGTAGTGATTTTCTGTATTTGGCCAATTTGTATATTATTTTTTACTATGAAAATTTGTATTATCATATTTTTGGTAAAAGAATTTTATTATTTTGTCCAATATAATTTTTAGGAAGCCTGAAAAACATGTTAAAATGAAATGTGGTTAAAAAATAACAATAAGAAAAATATCATGAGTTTTAAAAGTTTTACTCATAATTTTGTGTTGTTAGCCAAAAAAATTATATCTCAATTAAAGTCCACTTATTACTTTAAAAGTAAAATATATAAGAAAACACAATTTCTAGAGAAAAATATCTCATCAGTTACACCATTAGAGGAGTTTAACTTCACTAATCAGAGGTTGATAGGAAAATTACAGTGTCCCACCATTTCTGATAAATTATATAACTTTTAATGCGTCAAACATTTTTCATTACCCTCTTTATAAATACTTGTTAGAGTTTAAAAATATCATGATATTATTACAAAATATATATTTTTCACTTTATTAAAATTAAAAATAAAATGATTTTTTCCATAAAAATAATCTGCTCTTAAATCAGAGCTATAACCTATAATCTATAACAAATGCTTGTTGTGTTACTGCTCTATTTTTATTCAGATGAAACCATGAAACCAAACTCAACTAATATTTGGTATCCTACAATAAACATAAATAATCCAAAATTTTACAATATTTTAAAAATTTATTCACAAAATACTAATAAGTGATTTTGGTGCCAAATTATTTTTTATAATCTACTCTATAAAATGACTATCTTGATCTTTTTTTTAATTTCTTATAATTTTTTTTTTTTTATATTAAATATTTTAAAAGATAGTAAAAAAAAATATTCAATACATTAAAAATGATAGTATTTGTCAGAACATGGTGGGCCACTCTGTATAGATATATGTCATTATAAAGCTATAATTGAACAATAAACCGTATTGATTTAGTTTAATATATCAGTATAATATTACATATACAGAAAACCTATATACTACATATAGGTTTTATGTATGGTTACTACAACCATACAAATCAAGTTTGAATGTTTTACATTTTTCTAAAAATTTTAATTTATTAAGTTGTTAATTTTTAGTGGAATTTTGTAAAAGCGTGTGTAAATGGACACTATCATATCTTAATCATTATCATATGAACATTACATATCTAAATTGTAATTATAATCAATAACATTTAAAAATCCATAGTAGAGGAAGTGGGCATAAAAAAGTTTCTATGAACAAACTACTAAAAAGACTTATGGAGACCAGATTTGTACGGATTATGAGTAAAAATAAAATGGTCAACAAACATTTTATATCGCCATAGCATTGCAAATATAATTTCTTGCCTATCCCTCAAAATATGCCACTATCTGTAATATCACTTAACTACAATATTGCAAATATTTTTAAGAAAGACAAAATACTAATCATATTCATAATAATGAACTAGCAGATTATATAGTTGTATAGTTGCTTTAAAGGAAAGTATTTTTCAAACTTAAAAGAGGTACAATCTAAAATTATAGGAAAATAATTTTATATATAAGGATAAAAAAACCCTTTTTTTTATGTGACATCAAAATATAAATTGATAAATAATTTTAAAATGTGAAACTCTTAAATGATCCATAAACTTTATCCCTTATTACTAATTAATACATTGAATTAAATTTTTTTAAAGTATTTAAAGCTTAGAGAAATACACTGGTATTTTAATTATTATATACCTGTTTTAATTGTTAAAAAGGGATTCAAAAATATAAAAAAAAAAAACCCAGCATGGTGAAGCTGTGGCAAAGTAAAGACAAGTATAGATGATATCTAACAGTAATTAACATCACTATCATAAAAATAGATTTGATACGTATATATATTGACACGGTGCCGTGTTTCCCTCAGCCGCACATTACGTTATCAACCTAAATGAAATTGTATTGGGTTCTGAATTATAAGTGAACGGTAAGTGGTAAGGTTTGTCTATACGACGCCTTGGGTCGCGGGTTCTAATCCAATACCGTGCCTCTTTTTTTCACATGATTTCCGGTACACTTTCGTTAACCAGCCATCAATTCCCGACGGCCGTGTTAATATTAAATTTAACAATAATTTGTATGTTTGTAATTTTACAATTGCTATAATTTATAATTTAAATCGAATATTATTGGCTTATTAAATCGTCAAGATGTTTATTTTTTTTCATCACAATGTACTTTTAAAAAACTTTAATTTGATATAGGTTGAAAGAACATCATCTTCAAACCCTTTCTGTACTTATGTTTTTCATGATTATTAAAAGAAAGCTTATTATTTTTAAAATAAACTATTAAAATTTCATAAAGATTTGGCTGTTTTAAAAAAAGTTATTAAAATTTTAAAATTTAGAAACAAATTGTATTTTTTACAATTTATGTAGATTGCTAAATTTTAAAATATTTTTAAAATTAATTGCATTTTTTTATCATTTTTGAAGGTCATATATTCAACTAGATAAAAGTTGAGAGTTTTTACACTTATAAATCCATAAAATCAAGCTCTTAAGAGCTAGGAAATTTTATAAACAGACACACAAAAAAAAAAATGCACATCACCATAAAATCAATACCTACTCAGCTTCACATCAAAGCTAAATTGAGTTTTTTTTTTTTAAAAAAAGCTTTTTTAAATTTAGTTTTATTGAAAAAAATATTTCTTTTTAATGTGATTAAAATATGTATGTGGTATTTTTTTTCCTCTCTTTTAACTTATTTTAGCTTCGATGCGAAGCTGAGAAGGTATTAATTTTACTATGATGTTTTTATTTATTTTTTGTGTCTGTCACTAATTTTTCTCACCTCTCAATGGATCAATATTTCTTAACAATATGTAAAAAGATCACAAATTGTATCTAGTTAAAGACATTAACCTCAAATATTGAAAATTTTGCCCTCGTTTCTCGTAAACAATGAAATTCCCCCAAAAAATTTCAACATATTTTTCTAAAAATTGCCATAACATATTGAAAAATGAACAAATCAAAATAATTTTTTTTTATTTTGAAATCTTAAATATATTTTCCTTTCATATGATATAAATTTTTTGAAAATCTGACCCTTTAACTGCCCACAAGGAGATATTCAAAATTGCAACTTCTGCACAAAAATTTTACTTTTTCAACTTGTTTTGAAAATATTCCAGAAATACTTCAAGTATCAAACATATACTAATATAAAGTTAATGTTATGTACTATAAGTCAAAAAAAAAATCGAAAAATGTAAATTTTATGCAAAAATCACTGTTTAATATGAAATATTTTAATACTTAAAACTGCCATAACTTTTTAAAAAAATAATAAATTAAAATAATTTCTTATTATATTAAATCTTAGATATTTTTCTTTCATTTGATATATTTTTTTTTAAAATCTGACTCTAACCCTGCCCACAGGGAGGATTCAAAAAAGCAATTTTTGCAAACAAGTTAAGCTTATACCTTATAATGGGGTACACTGATTTTCATGAATATTATATAAAACTAATTGACATAAAATATAAAGTTAAACTTATCTCAATTTTTTTTCTTTTAAGTCGAAAAAATAAATTTTAACAGCTCAAATTGCCAATTTTATCAAAAAAAACTAATGCGACGAACATATGCCGATTCAGTAAAAATCATTGCCTAAGGCAATGATTTTTTTCAATTTTTCCTTAATTAATTTTGTGTTAGAATTTTGCTTTTGAATAGTTCACCAATTTATAAAATTAAACGCTATCTACAGCTTTGCATCAAAGCGTTTCTTATAATAGTGATTTTAATCACTGTCAGATATCATATATACATGTCTCAACTATACCACAACTCCACTGTGCTACTATTTTTATTTAACAATTTAAACAAAACTAAGTTATAAGCAAAAAATGTTTGTGCCTCCTCCATTATAAATTTTTAAATACATCCCTGTCACAGTTTCTTTTTTAATTTTATAAAATGAATACTTACTAAATACAATAAAAATACCTCCAAAAGAAGAAGCAATTTTTATTATAAATTGAAATATAGTCACTTGGTCTTGAGCTATCACAAATTTGAGTGCATTAATATCGTATTTAAAAAAAATTCCAGACATACCATGATTTCCTGAAATAGTGATATTTTAACTGTTAAACCCAAACAATATAAAAGCTAATATGGTGTTAATACCATGTGTATTATCATCATTATATACTCGTTTTAAATCTTTTGCTGAATACTGATAAGTTTTTACATCACTTAGTCGTCCTTTTATATCTGTAGCTACTACATCTATGAAATAGTGATAAGCTAGTGACCCTTGAAAGAAAATAAAATTTATTATTTTAATACTAAAAAAATAAATGTTGAATGCCAACCTTCAGTAGCGATTTGAACTTCTCCTTCTAAAGGGTTAATTATACCTGTATTTTTAGTTCCAAATGATAACCGATTAATACGATGAGAAAAATTACTAGGTGTAGGTCCGAATAAAGGACCAGTAAGATGAACATGTCCACCAGGTACTAATAAGGATTTTCCACTAGTAATGTGAAAATTACCAGTTACTTTATTAAGAATTAATGATCCATATAATCGACATGCATCTGGAGCAATATCTCTTTTTCTTGATCTAAATTTTTTTATAATTTTAATAAAAGTAATGCTATTAAATTATGCCTAAGTAACAAAAATATATAAATAGGTACAATACATTTGTAATCATCTTACTTTTTTAATGAACCGTAGTTATATATATTATCATCTCTCCATAAAATATTATTTAATGAATGATATTCTTCCCTTAAATAAGAATTAGTTAATCGCATTTCATCAAATTCAAGTTGTTCTTCTTCAGACATTTCCCACCAAGCATCTTCAGTTTCAATTTCCCCAAATAACATCATGTTTTGTCCAGTAGAATCAACAATGTCAGCACCAACGCCTAACAAAAACCAAAAAACAAATCAATAAATACTAACTTTTTTTGATAATTCAGCATTTAGAATTTAATATACAAAATAATGAAAAAAATACAGTCTAACAATAGCATTTAATATCAAAAAATAAATATTTTATTTTTCAATAATTTTGTAAACTTTAAAATGTTTTACTCACTATCACAATTAGACTTTACTGTTATATCAATATTTATTGGTAATTTAGAATCATATTCTACATCTGGTATAAATTTATAAATATATCGATTTTGTAATGCATATCTTACTTCTGATATAATCAACCAAAATCCAAAAATCATAATTAAAATAGTCACTACAAAATAGAATTCAATGTTATTTAAAAGAAATGTAAGAAAAATAATTGCATTTTTATTAAGAATATTTTTTACAACAACCCACACCAAATTAAGATTAGAAAATAGAATATAATTATTACACATAGATTATTATTGTATATTTTTTTTTAAATAAAAAATTATTAAATTATAGAAAATTAATAATTCCATGGTCTAAATTTTAAAAATAATTGTATATTTTCTCACACATATCTTAAAAAAAATCAGGGTTAATTTGTCAAGAAACAACTTAGTCTTATGAAACTAAATATCTAAATACTTTTAACTCTGGCTGGTTTTTTATTGGAATATCTTGAAACTACTGTTAGGCATCATTTCAGGTTAGCCTACGCTATCTCTAAAACTTACACCACTGTGTTTTGATTCAGCCCAAATTTAATCAAGAGCCAAATCACAATATGGAATGATTTGTTAGTCAGACCCAAGAGGTGAATTAGTTACTCTGGTTGCACTATGCGAGGGGTTGGAGTAAAACTTTACGATGGAGTTAACATTATATAGCTTACAAATAAAAAACATAGAACCAGTCATTACTACAAGGGAGCATTGAACAAGTGCCTAGTCTTCTTAGCATGAACCTTAAGGTAGTTTCTGCCTTAAGAATTCAGCTAATTCTTTGTGCCTCATCATCGTCTTAGAGAATGCTTGTATCAGAGATTACTTTTCTCTGCTACTAAGCAGGATAAAGTAATTCCATATACCTGACCTCGAATTTGAACTCCAGTTAAATGTTGAGAAGTTTTCACAGGACATTACCTGGTTCAGATAATAAGATTTTCTCTGTTAATTTTTATATTTGGTCCATTTAGAATCTAAAACTAGGTGTTTATGTGATGTATGGAGATATAAATCAAAATTTGTGTTGAAAGTGTTGAGACTAAATTAATAAGTGTTATAATACAAAAATAAGTAGTAATTTTCATAAATATTATAATTGCCACACATATAAAAAACGAAAATGGTTGGCAACAACAAAATAATTCAAAGAGACTAAAATACTAAAATATTATAATAAAATTAAAGTGATAGAATCTCACAAAATAGTACAATGCCAAAATTGTCCGGAATACAGTAACTCATTCATACTGCCACTATGCTCTATGTTGTGGCCAAAATCACCATTTGAAATGATATATCAAACAATTGACATTTCACTAACATCTATACGTCTTTTATTCGATCTAGTAACCAACAACAGATTGGGAAAATTTTCAAAAAATACTAATTTAAATATTAAACTAAAGTCCTCAAAAAAAGATGCTATAAGTTTAACAGTGTATACAATCTGCTGATACTCCTTCTTCTATTAATTAAACTTCTTTTCTCATTAATCTTACATTTGTACACAAATAGCTCAAAAATAATGAGCCAAAAATTAATTGCACTATATTCCCTACCTCTTTGACAAAAAAAAGACTTAACATCCTAACTACACACCTCAAAATATGACTCAAAATTTAGAAGTGAGTCTTATTCAAATTATATAGCATCTCTTTCCACAAATTTCATAATGGAAAGTTACTAAAGAGGCTCTATGAGACAAACACTCTTTTCTCTTATTTAGAAAGAAGACGGCTCCTAGGTAGTAACTGACCAAGAAAAAGTAGAAATATTTCAAAATCGCTTTACTGAAATATTCAAACCACATGAAACTATAATTAATAAAAAAAAAAAAGTATACTCAACTCACAACTTGGTTTCCACAACAGACACTCAACTGTTCAACAAATTAATTGTTTAACTGACACTATTGCTATTTCTACGGAAAAAAATTTGTTCTACCATCATTCTTGATGTTCAAGCCTTCGACTGGGTATGGAATGAGTTTTCTTTTTAAATTAAAACTCTTATCATCTTCATACTACCTATTTTTTAAATCTTATCTAATAGAACACCACTTAATATGCTACCACAAAACTCTTTTTGGTAAAATCAGATAGAAAGGCAGAGGTAGTACCCCTAAGTGCTTATCTACTCTCTTACTATTTAACATCTTTATAGCTGACCAACCAACTCAACATTATACAACTATAGCAGAAAATGTAAATGATAAATCTATTCATTCTATTCATGAAAATCTGCAAATAGCTTCAGATAATCTGCAATCTACCTTCTTGATGACCTTCAATCCTGGTATCATGACTGGAGAATTAAAACAAACTAAAATAAGTCTTGTCAAACTACTTTCACACTTAAAAAAAGATTCTGTCATACAAGTTTACCTAAACAATACTTACAATTAAAAACAGTATTGCAAACAGCTTCAAAAGATCATTATACTCGATACCACTATTCCCTTATTAATAATTTTAATTCTTTATTAAAGGATCTGACTCTACCCACAATGCCAGGTATTTTTTTCAAAAGACTTAAATGATAGTGCAGAAATTTTCTTGATCCATGGTAAAAAAGATAACTAATAATAATAATTTAACTAAAAAAAAAAAAATTTAATGAGTATTGTCAGTAGGCTGCTTTTTTTCTTAAATAATTATTTAAAATCATGTTAATTATCATATTTTATATTATTCTATAGATTCTATAATTTAAATTCATATATATATATATATATATATATATATATTTAAATAAAAATATAATATCAGTTTAAATTTTCACCTAAACATATAGTAAAATGGAATGTCCAACAATTTTAACGGGAGATTTCAATTTTTTTAGCTAAATATAACAAATTTAGAAAGAAAAAATTTTACTCACAGATTATATTAGCATATGAAGTTTGCTCATAAATTTCATCTTGAACTTTAGGAAAAGTATCTAATTCTTTTACTATATTATTTAAATTAATTTTCTTCCCTCTATATCTAAGCATTTTAATAATCTAAAAAATATATAAAGGTCAAATAAAAAGTGTAGAATATTTTGACTATTTATCCAGATAAAATATTAAATTGTAAATTTTTATTTAGAATAATATGTACATATTACAAAATTAAATATCTGGATAAATTATAATCGAAATTCTATATAGTTAAACATTGAGATAAACAAATTAATATTTAATAAAATTATATTATTTAATTATATATTGAATATTGTATATCACACCGTCAGTATTTTTTTTTAAATCGACCCAAACAGTATATAGTTTTTAAATCAAAGACAGTATCAAATTTGGCAAAATATCTCACATAGTGTATAATTCATCTCTACAAAAGAACTTTTGACATTTTTATATGATAAAACAAACATTGCAATGATAACATTTGGTACTATTTGTAATGAAACAACCTATTTACATTTGTTAATATTAACAAAATAACTAGTAAACAAATTTACAACTGCAGAGAGTAGGTTAAAATACCACTTGAAAGTTATATTTTCGCAGAAGTACAAGTATTCACTATCTATTAATTTTCGGTTCCTCAATCTGTAATCCATGATAAATTATCATTAATGATAATCAGAGTCTTAAGTTGATAATTCTTGTTATTATTTAATACTATCACTTTAGAAGTAGTTGTTAATTACTATCATACCAAATCTTGTTCGAAATTATTATTTTTCACGCTTGTTTTAAATTTAAATGTGTGAATGATATTTTAGGAATTATAGCTTTCAAATTCGTATGTTAAATTTGTTTTTTNAATGATATTTTAGGAATTATAGCTTTCGAATTCGTATGTTAAATTTGTTTTTTGAAAATGGGTATTAGTGTGGATTGTGTACTAAACGAATTAAAATTTGATCAGAAATTATTTAGTTTATTGAAAACCTATAACAAGTACGTAAATTTTAGGTTTGATTATGTCATAAGATCAAGTATTGCTCAAGTTCCATCAGAAATTACTCTAAACAATGCCTGTAAGTATGGAACTAATAATTCTGTTATGTATATCTCAAAAGTTTTATAGATATTGTGTAAAGAATGAATAATATATTACTATCTCATTCTAGCCCTAAAATACATATGCTAAATTTAATTTAATTTGATTAAATAGAATAAATAAAAAATATACCTGATTGTAATGATTATCATAATTCTAAATAGGGTAAAAAAAATTATAAAATTCTTCTACCTTAATTTTAAGAAATAATTTATTTAACTTTATTTTAAAATCAATTTAATATGTATTAGGTTGTTCATTTGATAACAGAGATTTATTTGTAACACCTAAATGCTTTGGTGAATCTAGTACTAGTGTAAACAGTATTACAAGTTTGCAAAATGAACTAAAATCCCTTACAAATGAAGCAAATATGAAAAGAAAAGAAATAAATATAATATCCTTAAATGAAGAAGGGCTGAAGAAAAATATAAAACACTTAGAAGAAATTATTGCTATAAAGGTAACTTCAAAGGTTAAAATTATCATTTTTTTATATAGTGGCATAATTACAAAGTTTCAAGGGATCATATTTGCGACCCCTAACACAATTTAAGGATTTTCAAAATATACTTATGCCACTCCAAAATATATCCAATGACTTAAATTTTTTATGTGCTCAATAGTAAATTTTTGTTTCATATAAAAAGTATTGAAATGCATTGAATTATTGTTTACATTTTATGATTTAATGAATAATATTTTTCATAAATTATTTTTGTTGGGTTTTCATAACTATTAATAATTCTTTGAGTATCATTAAAATTTTGAATTGTAAATTCACCTTAGAAAAGTACTAAATATTTTTAAGACCTTAANTTGAATTGTAAATTCACCTTAGAATAGTACTAAATATTTTTAAGACCTTGATTATGTTTTGCTCCTCAGCATCATAAAATATGAAGCAAGTAATGAACAGAAGGGGTCCAAAACAAGGATCACTTCCTTGATAATTAAAATTAAACAATTTTACAATCCCTAAAATTTTGACTAAATAATGCCACTTTTTTTATATGAACATTGATTAATAACAATTTAATATCATTGAGAACATTATTTTATAATCCTAGGAGAATTTAATAACTCAAACTGCAAATCATACAGAAATCAGATGTAATGCAAAAGAAAAAGCTCAAAAAGAATATCAAAGAATTAGTAAAAAATATAGCAAAATATTAAATGCAGATCGTTTAAATGACAGAGTATTACGCTACGAAAGAAAAATCAAAAAAATGGATGATATTATTAGAATTGCTGGAGATAGTCAAGAAAAGTAATTTTTAATAAAAATGAATCATATTTCAAAAAATTACTTTTTATTATTTTTAGATTAATGCAGGATAGAATTGCATTGCAAACATCTAAAGATAGACTGAAGATATTTTATGAACAATATAAATGTCAAATACAGTCTAAAGAAGATTTAACATCTGTATTATTAGAGCTTGAAAAAAGAATAAATCAATTAAAAATTAATTTATCTAATTTAGGAGTATGCCATAATTTTATATTTTAATAGTTGTATCTGTTAGAAATAATATAAATTTTATGTAATTCAACAAAATTTTAGGTGATAACAAGTATTGAAAAAAGTCGCAGTCATACGTCTTGTAATATAATTGAACAAAATAATTTAAAGAAAAGTTTTATTGAGCTTCAACTTATGAGAAATGAAGTTCTAAGCTGCCGGCCAAAAGGAATATTTAATCCTAAATACCATAAAGTAATTGAATATACTTTGATTAGGTATAAGTGTGCACAGACTTCAATGTCTAATGGAGTTTCAATACTTAAATACTGTTCTTACATGGACACTATCTGAAAACTCTTGTCCCCTATTAGCCCCTCAGAATGTATTTGAATTTTTATTCAAAAATATTTTTAAGGAAAGAAAAATTAAATTTGACTTGATTTTTTCATATATATATAAAAATTTTTAAAACAAATTTTTTAAATGTAAAAAAATTACATATGTGTAAGTTTTTTATTTCATAACTAAAGAGCGGATTTATATGCATTTATAAATTATGTTAAGTTATTCCAAACACATCAGCCTGTACCATACTTTATAAATTGGCTTGAAAATTTTATAATTTGTTCTATTTGAGGTAATAGTGTTGGGGAATTTAAGAGTTTATTCCCTTGAAACGAAAAATATTTCTATGCCCCTGTATATTCCAACAACAAATTTGCATAAACTTGGGTCTATTTAGATGGCTTAAAATAATTTATAAGTACATATTAATCCACTTTACTTATAACATATACAAATTATGATCACATTTTTATAAATCCTTTAACTTGAAGTAAGATTTAAAATGGTTATAAACAAAGTAAATACTGAAAAATAATGCATAATTCAATATAAAGTTTGGATAAATTTCTGAAGTTAATAAAAATAAGTCCTTATCTAGGAATTCTTTTATAATTTAAAAAAAAAAATTTTTTTTGAAAATATTGGATGGTTAAATAAATTTATCATATAAGCATTTTATTACGTCTAGATTTTGTGTGGATAGGTTATGTAAGCAAACTGTTAAATATAGCTCTACTGATATCTATCCTCAACATATACCTATTTTAAGTATTTAACTGTTTTCACGTGTTAAAACGTGTTTGTTTTTTAACAATTCAAAAATTGAAATTGTTATAAATATAGTAATAAAGTACCTTCATGTGAATGTCTTATTTTTGATTACATTAAACATTCTTCTAATTACAGAGTAATGATATTAAATATGTACATTACTAGATTAAATGTTTAAACTTCAGTTTGCTGAACTCAAAATCAATATATGATAAAAAGAAAAAGTAAAATTAAATATATTTGTTTGTTATTCATTTTAAGGAAAATAGTTTAACAAAAGAAGAAATTAAAAAATATTTAGAAAATGATGAAACTATTGATGCAATTGACCACTTAATAGAATTGAAGAATAATCAAACTAGTAATTATGTGGACTGGACAAATCTAAATCATTCAGTAAATTCATTTTATTATAATAATGATGATTCAATAAGATAAATAATTTTATTTAAATATTTTTAACTATAGAATTCCATTGAAGGAGCTGTATTTCTCAAGTCTTTAAATAATCTTACTCTAGTTGAAATCAAAAAATTACTTATACACTATTTCAATAAAGTTATAGATTTAAAAGAATCTGGTCGAGAGAATGATGAAATTATATCTAAACTTGATGTAAGTTGATAATTTTAAACTTTGATGAAATATAAAAATGACAAAATATAAATTTTACTATAATTTTTTTTTTTTACATTTATGTTTCTGTCATAAAAATCTTATCTTATTCTGAACAATTTTTTTTTAAATATGGTTTTGTTTAAAAAATGTTTGTATATCATATACATAATGTTTTTGTCATAAAAATCTTATCTTATTCTGAACAATTTTTTTTTAAATATGGTTTTGTTTAAAAAATGTTTGTATATCATATACATAATGTTTTGATAAATTAAAAAAAAATAATTTTACCAAATAGTTTTTTAAGTTATTATTATACTGACCATAAAAATTTTGCATAAAAATATTAAGGTAACCATTCTTTATAGTAGAACTAAAAAAAAAAATGTTCAGTATATTTTATTTTCTACAGAATTTAAAATTTTTTAATTTTCATGTGTTTATTTTACGGTATTAAACATTGAGAAATATATATTGAGAAAAGTACTGTAATTTTGACCTTGTATATAAATTGTTAATCAAAATGAAATAGACAAAAAAATATTTTTTAATTATATTGTTATATTTAATTTTATGTTATTAAGGTAATAAACAAATTTTAAAAAATACAAAAATAACTGTTAATCCATACTAAGTCAACAATATGTATTTTTTAAATACCATTTGGAATCTACCAAATTCATTTATTTGAGTCTCAAAATTAATTTTAATACTAATTAGTTTAGTTTTTATATAAATAAACATTACTATATTAGTGTTTGTTTCTAAAAAGTAAACCAGTGTATCAGTAATCAAAATTATTATATTATATAGGAAATTAATGATAAACAGAGGCGAACAATTGTCTCTTTAAATAATAATTATCAAGAGTTCCATTTATCAGTTGAAAAAAAGTTCATAGCTTTGAAAAAGTATTATCATGACAAAGTTAACATGTTATTTCAACTTTTACAAGAAGAAAATAATGCCATAACTGTATTTAAAATGAGACAAGAAATTTCAGCATTGAAGAAAAAATTATCTGAGCTTGAAAAATCACAACAAATAAGTAAAACTGTCATATTTAATATTTTATTATTTATTTATTTATGAAATTAATTTCTTTGTAGCAAAACCAATAGATACATTAGTACTTGCAGAACCTCAACAAAATTCTGATCATCTGGATATCTCACGTTCAGAATCAGAAACAATGTCTTCAGCTAAAGTTACGTTTCATAAAAATAAGTTAAAAGTACAAAAGAATAAAACGAAATGAAACATTTAAAAAAATGTCTAGCTGAAAATTATCTTACATAATTTGTAATTATTTATAACAATCAATTTTTAATTATATTATATTTTCTAATAGTTATAAGTATTATTACATTTTTTTTTTATTCTATTAGTGATTCTCTTTACTAATTATAATTATAATCCTTAGAAACTTTTTTGTATTACTGGATATTTTTCTATTGGTTTATTAGAATACTATAGTTATTAAAAATTAAATATTAATATTGTTTGTATGAACAAGTCTCCTTAATTATATTTTGTCATTTAGAATTCTATTCATATTAAATGTGTTTTTAGCCTTTTACAGCTGACAGATTACAATATATAGCAATAAATAGTGGTAACGTGGCAAGTTGTGCCCTGTATAAATTTAATCTGACAGTGATTAAATGTCATAAGAAATGCTTCGATGCAAATCTGTAGATAGGGTTTAATTCTAAGAAATTGGTGGATAATTACAAAAGCAACATCAACTTCTATTTCCTTAATTATATTTATATAATATAATATTATAATTCATCAATTAATACTTAATTATATTGATTATATCCAGATTAGTAATTCTTAGATTCAAAAATATAATATATAATTTTTTAATTATATATTATATAATTTTTATACTTAATTGTTTTCAAATTATTATTGATTTTGATTTTTTTTATGTTAAAAGTAATCATTTTTGATCTATTTTTTTTTTTTGTTCAGTAAAGTTTCACTTTAAAGAACAAAAAAAACGGTAGCACAGTGAGCATGGAATAGTTGGGACTAGTAAAGATGATATCTGACAGTGATTGAAATCACTATCATAAAAAATGCTTCGATGCAAATCTGTAAATAGTGTTTAATTTTAAGAAATTGGTGGATTAAACCAAAAGCAAAATTCTAACTCAAAAAGAATTACGGAAAAATTGCAAAAAAATCATTGCTACGGCAATGATTTTTACTAATCGGCAAACGTTCGTCGCATTCGTTTTTTGATAAAAATTTTTCGACTTTAAAGAAAAAAAAATTGAAATAAGTTTAACATTATATTCTATGTAAATTAGTTTTATATAATATTAATGAAAATCAGTGTACCCCTTATAAGCTATTTTAAAATAAATTAAAATACAATATAAAGAATTTTAACACAAAAATAGTATGTTTTTTTTAACTACGACAACCATTTACACATAGAAGATAAGTCGTCGGGACAAATTTTTTTTTCTTATAGTGCATAACATTATCTTTATTTTAGCATATGTTTACTATTTACAGTAAATTTATCAAAAAAGCTCGATTTTTTTTTTGCATTTTTATCGTAATAGATCACTTAAATAGAAATCATTTCTATTTAACTTTTAGTGTTTAAAAAGATCTACAATTGAAATATGCAGAACTGAATTAATTTTAATGATTTACTTTAACTAAAAAAAATTAAAAAGATCTACTCAATTGAGCGTATTATAAAATTTGATTATAATTGTAAAAATCCATTGTTAAATTTAGGTAAAACTTAAAATAATTTTTTTTTTTAGATTTATATAACTTGTTACAAAAAAATTTAGGGATGTTATAGACTGGTAGTAGTACATACAGAGTTATAAATTACAAAGTAAAATTATTTACTTTTGTAGTTGAATATTTTTATCCTATCAAATACTTTTAATCCTATTCGATATTAAATACTTTAAAAAAATTAGAAATGAATGATTTTAATTGTTAGTATAGATAAAGCTTGTTAATTAATTTTTTTTGAATATGCGATTTTTTTCAATTTTTGAGGGTAATATACTACTTCAAGTAAATATGAATTGTAATCATTTGACTTATCGTTGAAAAAAATAGGTTAAGTGAGGGTTGGAAAAATAAATCGCAGTCACAAAAAAAAACTTGTAGTATGTAATATTAACATGAATAAGAAATTTCTTCTCACAATGGGAAACTACAGTGATGAGATATTTATTGAAGTTATTGAATCCAAATGCGATAAAAATTAAATGATTTAAAAAATTTTATCTAACTCAAAAAAATTACAAAGTATTAATTGTCACTGGCGGAATCGATCCTCGAACCCCAAGTGCGAAAGACACAAGTGTTATCATTTCGGCAACTGTTGCTTTCGTCCGTTAATAAAATTAACAAATTAAGCTAATTCAAATTTTATAGTTACTTTTTCGATTTTAAAAAAGCAAAAAAATTTAAATAAGTTTAACTTCTTATGTCTTATGAACTTTATTTTATGTTAATTTAATTATATAATATTCATGTAAGTCAGTGTATTCTCCTTGTATGATATTTTAAAATAAAATAAAATACAAAACCCAGAATTTTAACACAAAAATGGCATATTTTTTATTACGGTAGCCTTTTACACCAAAAAGAAAATCTATATTTCGATTTTTTTTTCGTTGTAAAGTATACAGGGTGATTTTTTTATCATAACCCACTCAATTACTTGCAGAATAATAATAATTTAAACATTTTTTTTTTTTATTATCTTTAGTTACACATTATTCTTGAATTTTTAACTATGTAATACTTTTTAAGTTCATCCCTTATGCCTTGGAGGGGGGTTAACTTTGTTTTTTTAAATGGTAACACATAATTTTAATTTATTAAAATGTTTGAGTTTTTAATTTAATAGTAAATGGCATTTGAATTTTTAATATAACTTAATTCGTTTATTAGATATAATCATTTAAAGTTTCAAATTTTTGAATTAATATACAGGTATAATACACAAGGGATTACAAATACAGGTAGCTAATTGGTTTTTTATAACATCGATATTAGCAGGTACACAGCATTGTTATTATCAATGATAGTAAGGCACATTGTTATGAGTTTATAAATACACTAACTGACAATACAGAAAGTATATCTATTGATAATCATAATTAATAATAAACAATCCGTGGCTGAGACAGCAATGTCCTAAAAATCCAATTAACTACCTATATTTACAATCCCACGTGTATTATACATGTATATTAACTCAAAATTTTGAAACTTTAAATGTTTATATCTAATAAGCTAATAAAGTTATATTAAAAATTCAAATGCCATTTACTATTAAATTAAAAACTCAAACATTTTATTAAATTAAAAATATGTGTTACCATTTAAAAAAACAAAGTTAACCCCTCTCCAAGGCATAAGGGATGAACTTAAAAAGTATTACATAGTTAAAAATTCAAGAATAATGTGTAACTAAAGATAATGAAAAAAAAAAAATGTTTAAATTATTATTATTCTGCAAGTAATTGAGTGGGTTATGATAAAAAAATCATCCTGTATAATATAAGCTTTAATTTAAGATTAAATAAGAGTGTTAATATTTTCGGAACATTTAAAAAAATTAAATTGAAAAAGCTTAACTATGTGCAAAAATTGCTATTTTGAATTTCCCTATGTGCAGGTATAGAGTCAAATTTTTAAAAAATTTATATCAATAGACATCATGGTAAAATAAATACTTTCTCAGCTTCGCATCGAAGCTAAAACTGCAAAATAATGACGGTTTCAAAACGTATAGGATTTGTAAATACTTGCAGGACCAGGGTGAACCCACATGTTTATGTTATGTTTTAATTAAAGTAAATTAACAAAAATTTTCTTCATGAAATAAATTGCCTTATACATTTAAGTAACACAATATAATAAGATATTTCCATCCTTATAACCAACTAAGTTCAATATACGGGCTGTGACTAGAGTTTCATCCAACTTTTCAAACAACCTTAATCGTCGTTTCATAATACCGTTTTCTAAATCACACTGTGGAAAACTATTGACCAAATAGTTTGGAAATGTTATCAAAACAACAATTAATAATATAAAATTTTAAGATATATTGGAAATTGTCATTTTATTTTATGAGAACCTTCATTTCATACTTAGTACTATAAAATTAATAATTCTGATTACATATTTTTATAAAAATAGCCAAAAAATTAAATAGATAACTGCAAAATTATTATTAGGAAATTTGTTAATCTATAAAAAAATGATTTAGATGCTAAGCGACGACTATCCAAAAGAATAATAAAATTGTTTTTATATTTATATACTGTAATAAAAAAAAAGTGAAGTGGCATGGGGATAGGTTTATTGCAAACAATATGTATAAGGAAGTTTAGTTTGATATAAAAAAAACTAAGAGTGTCTAGAGGTATGAGGCAGGGACAATAATTGAATAAAAGTAAAGGGACTTGGGGTATGTATGGCTATATAAACACATCTAATATATGTGAATAAAGATAAGATATCAATGAAATTTTACTATTTAGCTCCTGCACAAAAATGTACACACAAATTATATGAGTATCGTATTTTTTTATGCAGTTATTTTAGTCAGTTCATTTCCGATTGTTTATTACTAAAAATCCTTCAGTAAAGGTATCATTATAGATTTATTATATAAATTAATGTTTTCACTTACTTCTAATTATCCTGATGAGACTAACACTCTTATGTGATAAATTGTGTAGTTGATGTCACTATTAGCGTTTATATGTATGTATGTGCGTCTGCATACGCACTTAAAACTACACGATTTATATTATTATATTAAATCGCGTGTAACTATTTGTCTAATGCAACTGTATATTAAATCTACTCAAGATAAAAAAAAAATGTATTATTCTTTTGGTATTTTATCTAAACTCTTTTGTACATATATGTGGTATGCTCTCTGGCCTTGTGTGCAGTGTTTTATACTAACAAATTTGTAGTTTAGTCATTTGTAAAATCAATAAAGAGATTCTAAATATATGCACACGTGCATGTATTTAATTGTACAAATATATAATATTAATTAACTACAATTAAATTATACTAAGTGCAGTAGTTAGTATATAATAAATTAAATTTAATGATATATGCATATGTCTTATGTTTAGCAACAAAATCCATAACATATCAAATGATAAACAAAGCTGACTTTGGAGGACTGTATTATGAAGCAATTAAAAACAAAGAATGGTTATTTACTACAGGGCAAAGACATTGGTATTCAAAACATAGGAGACAATGGCAGACGATCAAAGTATACTATTATAATCGTTGTATACAGATAATCTGCATAGCTAGGAGATCATTAATACCAGAGACGTCATTAAGGCAAACAAACGAATCAGGTTCTGAATTAAAACTCACATGCAAATCTACATAATGTCCATCAATCGTTAAATCAATAGTAAAAAAAAACAACCGTTCGTTTTTTAAAATTATTTAAAGATTTGGATTCAAAACAGAAATTGATCAATAATTCAGTGTTCGTAATACCAATAATAATCTTATTTGAAAAGCTTGAGGATTTATCCATGTTTGCAGTTGATTGCAGACGTTTCGGACTCTTTGCAGAGTCAATCTTCAGAGCGATAGTTACCGCTCGGTGGCTGAAACTATACTGGCGGCTTATCTTGTTATCAGTCTGTTTTTATACGTTGGTTGTTTATCATATCAGTTGTTTACCGTATCGGTTGTTTATCATATCTGTTTATGACTCATGTTGTTTATGGTATCTTGTTTTTGTTGACGACTTTGTTTTTGATTATTGTTGTTGTTTTTTTTCTTTTTTGACATTCTTGACATTTTGGTCTTCCTTTTCTGCACCGACAGTTTTCCATTACGTTGATAGTAACTTTTTCTTGTATTGAACTGTTTTCAATATTGTTAGTTGATTTTCTTTATGTCTGGTGTATGGTGGGTAACCAAGTTTTGTTATTCTCCATCTGTCTTCTCTGTTGAAATTCTCTGGACATTTTTCGATTTCTATTTCCTCTTTGTACATAAGAGTACCAAAATGAGTTTCTTTGTTTAGTATTTTTACTTTATCAAATTTGATGTCATGTCCTTTGTTTTTAGCGTGTTCGACTACTGCGGCTTTTTCTGTCCTTTATTAATCCACGTCTTTTTCGTGTACTTTTATTCTTGTTGCAATAGCTCTTCCTGTTTGTCCAATGTAGGATTTACCACAAGAACAATAAGCAAAACTTGGTTACCCACCATACATCAGACATAAAGAAAATCAACTAACAACATTGAAAACAGTTCAATACAAGAAAAAGTTACTATCAACGTAATGGAAAACTGTCGGTGCAGAAAAGGAAGACCAAAATGTCAAGAATGTCAAAAAAGAAAAAAAACAACAACAATAATCAAAAACAAAGTCGTCAACAAAAACAAGATACCATAAACAACATGAGTCATAAATAGATATGATAAACAACCGATACGGTAAACAACTGATATGATAAACAACCAACGTATAAAAACAGACTGATAACAAGATAAGCCGCCAGTATAGTTTCAGCCACCGAGCGGTAACTATCGCTCTGAAGATTGACTCTGCAAAGAGTCCGAAACGTCTGCAATCAACTGCAAACATGGATAAATCCTCAAGCTTTTCAAATAAGATTATTATTGGTATTACGAACACTGAATTATTGATCAATTTCTGTTTTGAATCCAAATCTTTAAATAATTTTAAAAAACGAACGGTTGTTTTTTTTTTTTACAATTGATTTAACGATGACAGTTTCAACGCATTCATAACAATAATAATCTGTTTCAATGGGTCACAAATAATTCTTTTGGTAAATATTAAAAAAATTGTTTACACTTGTCGTTCAAAAATGTATGACAGTAAATTTGTGTAGAATATAATAGTAAACTTATATTAAGTCATCAGTGACTTCTGTACTAAAAACAGTATAATTACAATAGAAATTTGATTTAAAAACATTAACTTTAACATGCTGAAACAGACAAATGGTTGATCGGAAAAAAAATTTGATAAGAATAAAATTATTTTTTTTGACATTATTATTTTTGAAAAAAAAGAAAAACTTTATAATAATGAATTTAAACTACTACAAGTGGGGTGGGTCCAAGGGAAGATCACTCTGTGGACTTATATCTAGCTGTTTACGCTGCTATCTAACGCATGTGCCATTATTATTTATTACATTATTTACGTCATTTTGTATTCCGTAGTATGGAAAAAACATATTTTTTTTATAGAATTATAGTCCACAGAAGACTTTTTAGGAGAAATCAATGTGGTTTCCTCTAAAAGAAATCTACAATAGAACAACTGTTAATAATCTTTTACAGTGTTTTATTCAACTTATTATTATTATTTATTAAATGTTTTAAATAATTTAAATGTTTCTATTGTTTATATTAAAAATTATTTATATTTTTAATCAATGTTATATTTTTTAAGTATCGGTTAATTTTTTTAAAGTGCTTTTTGTGATCATAGGTTAATTTTATTTATTTTTAATTTATATTACATTTCAAAACCATAACTTTTTAAAATTTTTGATTATATTATTTTGATATATTGGTGCATTGCAGGTTGGGCAATTACGAATATTCTTTATCAAATTTTTAAAACATTCTTTACATATTCGATGATTACATTTGTTGGAAATTTTCATTAAATGTTTGATATTATTACATTGTGGGCATCTGTTTAAGTCTGTAAAAATGTAATGCGAATATTGATTAATTATTTGATTATTGCTTATTTAGAATTAATCAATTAAATAATAAACTTTAATTGATTACATAATATAATATTTTTAATTTTGATGCGTAGCTGAGAAATTATTAGTTGTACAAACTAATAATTCAAAACATTCCGCTCCTTCAGTACGAGGTGATTTTGTTCAACAATAAATCAAAAAATCACAAATTGAATTTAATTGAAGTTATAAGTGCCATAATTTAGAAAACATTTTCTCAGTTCTTCTAATAATAGAAATAGTTTCAACAAATTGCAATTATTATAAAACAATGAACATTGATATTTTTAGTTTTCATTATACATCGAAATAACTTTTTAAAAACTAAATGGATCATTCGAAAATTTTTATTGGTAATACATTTGACATTTAATTTCTAATGATATGCTTTTTTATAAATCTAATCATCATATCTAATCAGCCATCAATTGTAAAATTAGCTTCGTTAAGTGTACCAACATTTAGCGGTTATTCACGAAAACGTAGCGTTAACTGATGTACAAAGGTTTTTTTATCTTAAAGCATCATTATTGAGCGAGAAATTTAAGGTTTATAATGCTTTGTAACATCGGTAAAAAATTATAAGATAGAATGGGATAGTTTGACACAACAGATAACGGCTTTGATGCAACAGCATAAAAAAGTCATTTACGATATAAAACTGGTTATTATCTAGGAGTTAGCGAATAATTTAAGAATTTTCATTGACGATTTAGTCGGCAACATGAAAACTCTGAAAAATTTAGGTCACGAATTTATGAGGCTCTTTTATAATTCACAATATATCAACAAAACTAGATGTAAATACATTGTGAGCTAGTAGAAAGCAAGCACCACAAACTGAAGTGTCAGAAGTCAAAGATATAATTGAATTTTTAAATAATCACTGTCAACTATTAGAAGTAGTTAAAAGTGCAAAAAGTTTAAATCAATGCAGTGGCGATCAAAAGAAAAAAAAGAAACAATCTGATCATCAAAAAAGGACCGTGTTGCATACGACCTCAAAAAATTTTAATTATTAAAAAAATATTACTTGTGCAATAAAACAAGTCACGTCATATATCATCGCGAAAAATTTTTACACTTAACAGTAAAAGAGCGTCATCAAAAGGTTACTCAATTAAACATTTGTAAATTATGTTTGTCTCATCATTCAGTAAAACAATGAATGTAAATTTTTAGACTGCAGAAACACATAATACATTACTTTGTTTATCCGAAGAACAAAATGATGAACAAGTCAAGTATGCATGATACTTGTGCAGAACAAAAACAAGATCTGTTGCCAACAAGAGTAATAAAAAAACCCAGCACAGTGGGGTGGCGGCAAAGTGGGGTCGTAGCATAGTTGAGTCCAGTATAGATGATATCTGACAGTGATTAAAATCACTATCATAAAAAATGCTTCGATGCAAATCTGTAAATAGTGTTTAATTTTAAGAAATTGGTGGATTATTCCAAAGGCTACATGATCTCCTATTACATTATTCATATTCTTATTACAAGTTTTATGATTTATAAGTGTAATATATATAGTACTTATCTCAAAAAAAAATATAATGATCCATACATTTTTTAAAAAGTTATAGCATTATAAAGTTAAGAATATAAAAAAGAATTTTTTTACAAAAATCATTTTTTTTATTAACTTTGATGTCTGTTTTTACCACGAAGACAAATTAAAGTCCGAAATTTTTTTTTTCATAATAAAGTATATTATATTAGCTTTAATTTAAGGTGTATAAAAGTGTCAGTATTTCCGGAACATTTTCAAAAATTAAGTTGAAAAAATTCTACTTTCTATATGCATTTTTAAGTTTTGAACTCCCCATGCATAAAGGGAACTAATCCGATTAAAAAAAAAAAAGTATGAGGTATATAAATATTATTTCTCATAAAAAATTGTATTAATCTATAAATTTTTCAGAAAGTTATAGCATTTTAAAGTTAAAAATTAGAGAATTTTAACACAAAAATAGCATACGGTAGCCATTTTCATCGTGAAGACAAAATAAAGTCCGAAATTTTTATTTTTCATAATAGAGAATATTTACTTTATATACTATATAAACTATTACATAAGCTTTAATTTAAGGTATATATAAAAGTGTCAGTAGTTTCGAAACACTTTAAAAAGTTAATTTTTTGTGAAAAAGTTGTCATTTTGAAACCCACTCTGTGGGTAGGTAAAGGGTCAAATTTATAAAAAAAAATATATCAAATATAGGTAAGGATATTATGCATCCATTAAAAAAAAAATTGTATTAATTTGTGCAATTTTGAAAAAGGTATGACAGTTTTAAGTGAAAAAAATTTCGAAAATTAGCAATTTTTAAATTTGTAATTTTTTTGGAAATTTCCTCCATTTACGGGAAATGAGAGAAATTTTTTGAGGATAATGTCTTCGACTAGATACGATTTGTGATCTTTTGACGTATCGTTGAAAGAAATTAGTTCGGTGAAAGCTGAGAAAAAATTGTAACAGACGCAAAAAAAAAAAAAAAAATGAAAACACATCATAGTAAAATTAATACCTTTTCAGCTATAATTAAAGGTAATTTAAATAAAATATTCATTGTAAGATTCAAGCTCTCAAACTAATTTTATAACCACTGAGTTAGCGCAAAAGTTGAAATCGCCACGAAAAAGATTATGTATTAGTATATCTGGTGTAGATAATTGAATAAGAAAATCATTTTACTCTATAACAACATTAATTCAATTAGGAAATACTAAGTACAGTAGCCAATTCGTTTTTTTAACTTTACCAAAAATAACTTCATTTTTCCAACCGAAACAATCAACACAACTGGTATAGACATACCTGATCACGTTAAATTAGCTAACTACAGTACGGCTTGCCTCGTAAATTAGTTGTACTACTAGGTGTTGAATGCTTCTATAGTATATTAAAAACTGATCAACATAAGGTAGATGTAGCAGGAATTATTTATAAAGTAATTGAATTTGGATAGTTTCAGGTTCTGTGTCCAGTTTAGGACATAACACTACAAAAGAATTTTTCAATTCAATTGTAATTGGTAATCAAGTAAATTTAAATGAACTGATATCAACATTTTGGCAAATAGATAAAATTATTTCAGAAAAAAACTCAGCATTGAAAAAAGGTCGTGTGTCAAACACTTTGAATGAACAGTAAAACTTGAAAACACGGGAAAATTTATTGTAAAACTCCCACTGAAATGCAATATTGAAATATTTGGCGATTATAATAATTATTATAATAATTTAAAAAGATTTAAATTAGCCTGATAACTATTGTCAAGAAGTTATAATAGAAAAAGGATATTTAGAAGAAAAACAGATTGTGATTACATTAACAAAAATTGAAAACTTTTACATCACCGAACGGTATTTATCATTAAGTAAATTACTCATCATAACAGAGTATATTTTACAAAGGAGAAAAATAATAACTGTCGCTAAATTCACAAAATAAATTCACTGTTTACGTTGATTCAGAAGAAACTTTTCAGACTAGACTAAAATTATTGATAATCGTGTAATCTCAATATTTTTCTTAAGAATTACAATGTTTACGTAAAGGAGAGTCAATAAAAAAGACCAGTAAATTATTTTTTCTTGACCCTTTTGATGACAAAAATGGTTTAGTAAATTAATAATTTAACGTTTATCAGTAGTCATACAAAAAATCCAATTTTACTATCAGTAAAGTCAACTTTTACCAGCTAAGTGGAAGTTTATTCAATCACCTCTCTTAACTTTTTAACTCTCAAATTTAAAATATCATTAGCTACCGAAAGATCTTCGATACTTTTATATACAACTTTAATAAAAACGTTATTCTATAAAAATACAATAGGTATCATACCAAATAGCCAATGACAGAAACTTAGCTCATAGAAAGATAATCAACTTATCCAAACATAATTTTTACTCTAAAATATTCTAATTTACACTTATTCTTCATTTAAATCGAAAATATTTCATTGATTGTAGATATAAATAAACTATTAATATATCAAATTTTTTTCAAATTATATTTCTATGCTTACCTCTTTTTGATTCCATTATAGATATTTTTAGTTGTTCTAAAGGAGAATAGTAAAAATTAAACTATTAAAATAGAGTTTAATAGCGATTTTCAAATTCCATAATTAATAACTATTTATTTAAAAAATTTGGTGCAATGAATTAAAATTATTATTTTTTTCGACAAAAATTAAGTTTTTAAATAAATTATATAACAATTGACGAGGAAGAGTACTTACGTTTTTCTTCTTTGGTAAGTTCATGTTTTTCATTAACTTTGTACAAAAATGAAAACAATTAATTATTTACTAATTAAACAACTATTTCTGATGAGTTGGAAAAAAATATATAAGCTGATGATGAATCATCAAAAATATATTATATAAAAAATATACATAAAAAGATAGTTTATTAAAAAAAAAAATTGAAACTGCTCAATTTTTTAATCAATTTCTTCTATAATAGTAATTTTCATGGAGATGTATGAAATGAGAATAACTTTAAAAAACGCAATTTAAAACTTTAATGAGTCATTTATGAATAAATTTGAAATCAATATCTCAAAGTTAAGAGAATACACATAACTTAAGTTATATTTGACGAAAATTACAATAATTACTCGGTACACCAGGACACACTACGATAGTTATAATTTGTATTTTGTGGGGGTGTAGGTACCAGATTTTGTTTTGTATTAAGTTCGCATACAATAGGTTATCGTGCTTGTCGTACCGAGAATATACATATATATATATATATATTATATTTATGTAACATGTAAAAATAAACGACTAATGAGTTAAAACCAGAATAATCTTTTCATTATTCCACTCCTGATATTAGCAATAATCAAAGCTGAAATTTTTTTGCTTAAACCTGTATGTTTGGTCGGCTTAATGAACTGTATGAAAAACAACTTATTCAAAATTATTTTTAATTGAAGTAGAAAAAATTTATTTTTTTCTTCGCCTTACTCACCTACTTGGGGTCAGCCAAACCTAATAAGATTTTATTTAAAAGTTCCTTCAACCACCTTATGCCAATACTGCCTAATATTATACATACTTCTACTGGCACTTCATCTGGTCCTACTGCTTTATTATTTTTCATTGACGCAACAGTCTCCCATACATCTTCTCAATAATTATATCTATCAGTCCCTTATTCTACGATATATCCTCTAATGTCTCTTTTGGGTACTCCTTATTCAGTAATTTTTCAAAATACTCTTTCCACTTTTTTTCAGATAATCACTCAAGAGTATCTTATTATCAACACTTTTTAGACACCTTATATAATGATAATCTTTAGACCTTTTCTCTCTTACTTTTGCAAGTATATAGATTTCTTTCTCGTCTTCCTTTGTTCCTAGCCTATCATACAACTCATAATACCTCTTAAACTTCGCCTTACTTACTGCAAACTTGACTTCTTTGCATAAGTATTTAAACTCCATCCTATCTTCTCTCTTATTACTCTTCTGTCATACATTAAATTTTTTTTTCTTACTTTCTATGATTTTTTGAACGTCCTCATCCCACCAACAGATTTCCTTGTTTTCTGGTATTCTACACTAATTCTTACCAACAATTTCCTTTTCTGTATTTTTTACACAACTAGCAGAACTAATCCACACATTATTTATATCTCCCTCGACTTCCACACTAACATCTCATTTACCGTCTTTAAAAACTCTTTCATTTTCCCCATTTAATTTCTACCACCGGTCCTCGATTTTTCTCCTGTGTTCTTTCTGTTATTGTATATTTCCTTATCACTACACCACAAATCTATTACCATCAGTCTATGTTGTGTAGTTACACTCTCATCTGGTATAACTTTACAATCTTTTACTCGCTTTACGCTCTCTTTCTTCCACAAAAAAAAAAAATCAATCTGTGATCTATTACTCTCACTCTTATAAGTTATATAATATTATTCCCTCTTTCTAAAATAAGTATTAATCACAGCAATTGCACTTTTTATAAAAATTATCTTTAATTCTAAAATTAAATACATTTTAAAATAATTATATTTCTCAAAGAAGCCATTTCTAGCTTTGTCTTTTTAAAAAGAACTCGCTCCAATTTTCCGAATTCGGAATAATCTAGAAGAACACGATCTTTTTGGACAGAATTCCTTCTCAACACTAAACCCAATTAATACTTAATAAATCATATAAAATTGCTATAAGACTTTTAAAACTGTATCAGTTTATAAATTGATTTTATATGTATCAATTTTTATTGATTTGTAGTGCACTATACAATTTTTTTTTACTTTTACTTATCAGTCATAATGATTTCAGTACCTGTCTTCTTATTTTTTCAATAATAAGTTCATAGTAGTGTTGTAAAATTTACAAATATTTAATACTAGATAAAGTTTTGAGAAATTTCTTCAAAAAATGGTGAAAAAATTGAACATTTTTATTATATAATTTAAATTTAAAACTTACCTGTTAGGTATAAGTTATATAAGTGTATTATAAAAATTCTCTTAACTTTTTAAATTCATTTAAAATATTATATTTTAGTCAGAATCTACTATTAAATTGTTTGGCACAAAGAAGTGTTAAGCAGTAAATCATATATGAAAAGTTAAATTTAGGCGAAAATTATTGTTTTCAAATATCTTTGTTTGATATTTGGGAAAACAGAAGATACCTTTGTTATAGAATAGGTAAGGGACGGTGCAAGGTAGATTTTGTATTGTAAGTTAGTCGTGAGCTGGACATCGAATAGTAATTCCGGAGCACCTATGTGCATCTAAAGTTTTATTCGTATGTGAAATGTAAAAGTTATATCGTAAAAAATACAGTCCACATTATTAACTAAAATAGAGTGTTTATAGTAAAATTAAAAATATCATAAACTACCGACCAATCTTCGATAATTTTATATACATCTTAAATAAAAACGTTATTTTATAAAAAAACAATAGGTAATATACCAAATAATCAATGACAGAAACTTAATTTATAAAAAAATAACCAACTTATCCAGTTGGCGCAGGAAAAATGGCGCTGCCATCGTCCAATGCACTTAGAGTATATTGCAATAGTAATATTCATTGGTTGAGTAGCCTGGTCCTCTAGATAGGGTGTTAAGCGCAGGGCTAACAACCCTACCTTGTAAAAAAAATCATATGTTTAGGATTCACACACCAAGCATCGGAATAGAATTAATGGAAAATGAACTGAAAATCGGAAATTGGACTTGATTTGTGGTATATGGAACGTAAAGACCATGTACATGACTGGTGCGGTATGGGAATTAGTAAGGGAAGTGGGAAAACATAGAATGAAGTGTATAGCCTTGCAGTAGATGAGATGGGAAGATGTCATGACAAATAAGATATCATAAAGAACCATATTTAATGGTAACTGTGAGCATGGCCACAGTTTAGGAAGGGGCTTTGCTGCACATGAGTCAATTATGCATGCAGTAAAAGACTTCAAAGATATCGACCCAAAACTTTTAACATTAATTCTAAAAACAGAGAATGCTGCTATTGTATTGATTAATTTACATGCACCTCTGAAGAGGAGAAAGAATATTTTTATGTTCACTAGATAATGAATTTGATTCATCGGAGAGAAGTTTTAGAATAGTTCTGGAAGATTTAATTGCAATATTAGGTCAAGAGGCAGGATACAGGAGTTACATTGGATCGTAGAGTTTACACGTAATCACTAATAATAACGGGACACAATTAATTGACTTTGCAGTAGAAAAGGGCTAGTAATAAAAAGTACCATTTCTCCGACAAAATATATACATAAGTACACGTGGATCTCTCCGGGCGGAAGATATAGAAACTAAATTGACCATGTGTTAGTCTCAAATAGGTTTAAAATAGCATAATAAATATAAGAATCCCATGTAGTGTGGATATAGGCTTTGACCACCTATTACTTGTCATATGTATAAAAGTAAAACCCAAGCAATTAGTTAAAATTGACAAAAGAAAAATACAGAATAATTCGATATAAGTAAACTAGACCCGATTATAAGCAAAGTTTTTGAAGACAATATTAATAATGAGTTGCATTAAAAACGAAGGTTGTTTAACGAAGTAGTGGATAGAGAATGGGAACGAATAAAGGAGACTGTAAATAATATGGAAATAAAGACTCTAGGGAATAAAAAACTAAAATCTAAGCCGTGGTTTAATGGGATCTGATAGGTAGCAGTATATAGACAACAATAGTTAAATGCACACAAACAACGAAAAACTGATTTGTCAAATATGGTCAAATGAGGAATTACCAATAGACTGGAAGACATCAGTGTTATGTCCAATCCACGAGAAAGGGAATAAACAGGACTGCAATAACTATAGGGGAATAGCTATCCTAAATGTGATGTACAAAGTATTTTCGAACTGCATACTATCATGGTTAAAGGGTAAAGCAGAAGACACTATAGGTGATTATCAGGGAGGTCGACAGTAGATCAGATATTTATCTTCAGACAGCTGTTTTAAAAAAGATGGGAGTTCAACATAGAGGCATATGTTTTTTTTATCGACTTCAAAAAAGCGTATGATAGTATTCACAGAGCTAGCCTAATAAATTGTCTGGAAGAATTTAATTTACCATAAAAATAAATAAGGTTAATTGGAATAAGCATCACAGAAACATTCAAAAAAATCAATGTAGCAAGTGCAGAAACAACGCCAATACTAATAAAATCTGGATTAAGCTCACTGTCTTAATATCTCTATCACTGATTCTATATAGCTTAATTTTAGAAAAAGTAGTAAGAGAAATGTATATTTAATCACAAGAAGTAGTTAAGTTACAAGAATCATCTATAGCGGTTTTGACATATGCGGATGATGTGGTACTAATGAACAAATCACACGATAATTTAAGTTCTCTATTCACTCGTTTGGAGGAAAATACAATGAAAGTGGGATTATAAATAAACGAGGAAAAAAATACATGGTTATGGGTAGAAAAGATAATGCGGTCATTTTTCCTCGTCTAAAATTTGGTAAATATGAGTTCAGTAGATGCAAACAAGTTAAGTACCTGGGTTTCATATTAACAGAAAATGACACTGATAAAGAAATAGCATCAAGAGTACTATAAGGAAATAAATGCTTCTATGGACTTACCAAAATACTAGGATCATGATCTCTGTCAATAGAAATGAAGATACAACTATACAGAATCTTAATACGCCCAGTTGTTACGTATGGATCTGAGGCCTGGCCACGAATAAAGACTGAGGAAAGGAAATTACTAGTTATTGAAATAAAAGTCTTAAAGAAGATTTTTGAACCTTTAAAGACGGAGAAACGGGAGAATGGAGAACAAGAAAAAATGAGGAATTGAGAAGGGTGTTCTGGAAAAGAAACATATTGAGTGTAATTAGAAACTGAAGACTTCAATGGATTGGATTTGCTATACGAAGACAAAACCATCTTATATGGATGATCATGGGCGAGAACCCAGTTGGTCAGAGATCACTGAGAAGATCACGATTGAGGTAGGAAGATGTAATAAGAAACGACGCGGAAAAACTAAACGGAGCACGGAATAGGAAAACAAGAGCGATGGATAGGGAAGGCTGGAGAATAGGATGTGTGATGGGATGGTTTTGATGGCTGTAAAACCCAAGAGAAAAAGAAACCAGCTTATCCAAACATAACTTTTGCTATAAAATATTTTAATTAACACTTATTATTCATTTAAATCTAAAATATTTCATTGATTTCAGATATAAATAAACTATCAATATATCAATTTTTTTCAAAAAATATTTCTATGCTTACCTATATTTGATTCCATTACAGAATTTTTAAGTTGTTCTAAAGAAGAATAGTAAAAATTTAAATATTAAAATAGAGTTAAATAGTGATTTTCAAATCGATAATTAATAACTATTTATTTAAAAAAATTGGCGCAAAGAATTAAAATTATTATTTTTTTCGACAAACATTAAGTTTTTAAATAAATTATATAACAATTGACGAGGAAGAATACGTACCTCTTTCTTCTTCGGTAAGTTCAGGTATTTCATCAACTTTGTACAAAAATGAAAACTATTAATTATCTAATAATTAAACATCTATTTCTGATGAATTGAAAAAAAATATATAAGCGGATGATGAATCATCGAAAATATATTGTGTAGAAAATATGCATAAAAAAATGGTTCATTAATAGAAAATCAAAATTCTTAAAAATTGAGATGGCTCAAATTCTTTAATTAATTACTTCTTTAATAGTAATTTTCATGGAGATGTATGAAATGAGAATAACTTCTAAAGTACTGATTTAAACGTTATTATAGACTTATTTTATCGACTAGATTTAAAAATAGATAATAAGATAGTATTATTTATTGACTGAATATTTAGTATAAAATTATCTGAGCTTATATCTTTGGTCTCGAATTATATAGCAAAAGATTTACTAAATTTTATTATTAACACGCCAAAACATAGAAAGAGAAACACTTTTCATTTTGGTAAAGTATGAACAAAATTTTCATAAAATATTTGAAACATTAATTTATTTATGAAACCATATAATTTGCATAGTGGTATAACAATATAAAAATAAAATATTTCAATTGTAACAACTAGACCTGCTAGCCTCTATTATTTTTTATTCATGTAAAATTTTTTTAACAAAATTTATGGATGAATAACATTTTTTTTTCATTGGCATGGCAAAAGTTATTATAATTCATAGAATAGAATATGTATTAGTTAATATTTATATTATAATGAAATATTTAGTTATAATATCAATTTATAGTTTATTTTTTTATTTTCCATATTAAAGTATGAGGTTTTCCTATTTGTGTTTATAATAAGTGAAACTTATTGCTGTGTTCTGGTATGAGAAGAAATTTGTTATAAAGATCTTACTATAGTTACTAATTTTTCTCATGTGTGTTTGATCAAAATAACTTTATACTGGTGCAGTATTAAATAAAAAAGGTTAGGTTGTTTTTAAATTAACAAGGGAAAATTTCAGTGAAAATTTGTTTTACTATTAATTGAGGAATATAATTATATGAACCACTAATATCCATGCAGCGAAGTATTTTACATAAGAGTATCTAGAAGAGTATTTTGAAAAATTGTTGAATGATGAGTACCCAAAAGAGACATTAGAGGATATCTCGTGGAATGAGGGACTGGTTGATAAAATTAGTCAGAAAGAGGTATGGGGGGAGGCTGTGGCATCAATGAAAAAGAATAAATCAGTAGGACCAGATGAAGTGCCAGTAGAAGTATGGATAATATTAGGCAGTATTGGCATAAGGTGGTTGAAGGAACTTTTAAATAAAATCTTATTAGAAGAGAAAATACCAAATGAATGGAGGAATAGTATTATGGTGCCGATATTTAAAGGTAAAGGAGACATACAGGAGTGTGGAAATTATAGAGACATAAAAGTTATGAGTCATAGTATGAAGATTTGGGAAAAGGGAATAAATAAAAGAGTAAGAAATCAGACATCGGTATCTAAAAATCAGTTTCGATTTATGCCTGGTAAGTCGATAATGTAGCTAGTATTTTGTGTGAGGCAACTAATAGAAAAGTTTAGAGAAAAGAAGAAAAATCTGTGTATGGTATTTATAGATTTAGAGAAAGCGTATGACAGAGTACCGAGAGAGGTTTTAAAATGGGCATTAATGAGAAAAGTAGTCCCGAAAAGGCACATTAATATAGAAGAGGATATGTATGATGGCACTTGTACTAGGGTAAAAAGCGCAGGAGGAATATCAGAAGGTTTTCGAGTAAGAGTAGGAGTGCACCAAGGTTCTGCTTTAAGCCCTTACTTATTCTCTATAGTGATGGATGAAATTACTAGAGAAATACAAGGAGCGGTGCCGTGGTACATGTTGTTTGCTGACGATGTAGTATTAATAGGATAAAATAAGGAGGAAATTAATCAAAGGCTAGAGGTGTGGAGATCAGCTTTTGAAGAAAAGGGTTTAAGAATAAGTAGAAGTAAGACAGAGTATATAGAGTACGAGTTTGACAAAGGAGAACACGAGGTAGGTGAAATGAGGAGGCCAGTGACAATAGGCGAGGACATGATTGGAGAGGTGGAGAGTTTATAAGTATTTAGGGTCAGTTGTGCAAAAGAGTGGTGGTATTGACGAGTATGTACGACACAGAATTAAGTGCTGGTGATTGAAGTGGAGAAAAGCTTCTGGCGCCTTTGCTGTAAAGGGATAAACATAAAACTAGTTCATTTTTTTTTTTATGATTATTATATTCAAAAATATGCTTTTTTGTGTTAAAATTTGGTTTTGTATTTTAGTTTATTTTAATATACCTTATAAGGGGTACACTGATTTCCATGAATATTATATAAATCTAATTGACATAGAACATAAATTTAAACTTATTTCAATTTTTTTTTCTTTTAAATCGAAAAAATTAATTTTAATATTTGAATCAACTTAAATTGCAAATTTTATTAAAAATGAATGTGACGAACGTTTGTCGAATCATTGATATCATTGCCAGAGGCAATGATTTTTTTTTTCAATTTTTCTTAATTCTTTTTGAGTTAGAATTTTGCTTTTGGTTTAATCCACCAATTTCTTAAAATTGAACACTATTTACAGATTTGCATCAAAGCATTTCTTATGATAGTGATTTTAATCATTGTCAGATATCATCTATACTTGTCCCAACTATGCCAAGCTTACACTGTGCTATCGTCTTTTAAATAGGTAATGATAAAACATCCGCCCTCTACATTGTTTAATAACAGAACGAGAATGTATAGTTCCACCCAATAAAAATATTGTACAGTGATTAACTTACTTAATAATAATTGAGTTTCAATGTCGACTTCATTATTAACGTCATTATTAATATTATTGTTGTTATTGTCGTCGTCGTCGTTGTCATCGTAAACTTTTTGAAAAAATGCAGTTCATTAGATCATAGAAAATAATTATAGTAGAAATTTGAACATGAACATATGTTATGTGATGAGGTTTACTTGGGTATTAATTAGGGATATAGAGAGAGGCAGTGGAGGGCAGGGTTAGAAACCGAAATGATTTTGCTTTTTCAAAAAATTTGTAACGTATCTATAAGTTAGTTGAACTATCTCGAATTTTTGTCAAGAATTTCAAAGGTAAATAATAATTGTAAAAACCGACAGTATTATAAAATCACCTTTAAAACTAAAATTTAACTTTATTATGTTTAAAAACTCAAATTAACTGATATATTTTTTTTGGTTACCCATAACTTATTTACCATATGTTTAAAAAAAATTGAAGACAAAAAGATTTAGAGAGTGAANGTTTAAAAAAAATTGAAGACAAAAAGATTTAGGGAGTGAAAGATTCTATGAAGATATCTAAACTCGTATAATTGAATTTTAGTAGTAAATTTTATGAGGACGTTATAATGTATTTCCACTATTGAGTAGACACTAAAAGTTTAATTTACTTATATCATAAGTGAATATCTACTAGAGTTCTTGGAGGATACCTAAATACATTTTAGATTCAAAACAAAGCTGAAAAGATATTAATTTTGCTATGATGTGTTTTTTTTTTATGTTTGTCTCTACTTTTTCTCAGCTCAACCCCACCGATTTATTTCAACAATACGAAAAAAATCACAAATCGTATCTAGTTAAATACATTGCCCTTTAATTGAAAAAAAATTCCCTTGTTCTTTGAAAACGTAGGAAATCCCCTAAAAATTACAATTTTTTCATCTAATTTTAATTTTATATAAGAAATGGTTTCATTAAACTAATATATTATATTAATATAATAATTGATATTACAATATGGATAATTAATATTATAAAATCTACTATTTAAAGAAAATACAGATTTAAAATCTAAAATTATCAAGGACTTTATGAAATAAAAATGTTTTAATATCGTATTTACCTTCAGGATCTGCAAAATATAAAATAATTGTAAAATTTGTTCTTAAATTAATACAAATTATAATGAATAGTACTATGATCTATATGATATATTTTTATCAAATAAAAAAAAAAAAAATTTATACAAATACATACTAATATTATATTTTTTTAGTGATTCATTTTTAAGGAATCCTATATAATAAAAATTGCAAAAATAATTTAATTTGTAAAATAATTTAATAAAACAATAAAAATAAAAATTTTTACTTCGTTCTGCCATGGATATTCCATCTATTTGATCGACTGAGTTCAAAAAAAATAATATATTATTTGATTTTCTATAAGTTACAGTTGTAGCTTAGGGACAATCAGAAAAAGACGTACCTATTTTTAAAACATCAACCCTACCGTATCGTATATTGATAGTCACAATATTTTTATAGAAATACGATAAACTTTATTTATCCTATAATATTACAAACAGGAAGCAATTATCATATACTACACAAAATGCCATTTTTCTGATCATCCCTAAACTTCAGTTGTAGTCGAATAATATAAAACAAATTTTCATGTTAATATTATTATACTTATTTTATCGACTTTTTAAATAAATAATGATAAAACAACCGCGCTGTATATTGATTAATAACAGAACTAGAATTTATGGTTCCAATCTCCAATAGAAATATTGTACCCTGATTGACTTACTTAATAATAATTGAGTTTCAATGCTGTCTTCATTATTAACTTCATTATCAATTTTATTGTCATTATTGTCTTCGTCGTCATCGTAAACTATTTTAAAAATGCAATACAAATAGGAACCGAAATTATTTTGTTTTTTCAACAAATTTGTTACATATCTAGTAAGTTAGTTAATTTATCTTGAATTTTTTTCAAGATTTTGTAAGATGCATAATAATTATAAAATTCTAATTTAATAAAAAAAATTGACTTTGTCATGTTTAAAAATTGATATTAATCGATTTATTTTTTTTGGTTAATTTTGATATAAACGCTACAATTTATTTATAGTTAAATTTTATATGTATCTGTAACTTATTTACCATAAGTTTAAAAGAATGTGAAGTTAAAAATATTTAGATTTTATTATAGATTTCTAACCCTGTATAATTGAATTTTTGTAGTAAATTTTAAGATGGTGCTAAAATGGATAGCCGCTACTGAGTAGATACTAAATGTATAATATATAAGAAATGGTATCATTAAACTGATATAATTTACTAATAATAAAATACATACTTATAAAATCTAACATTTTAAGAAAATACAGATTTTTAAAATCTGAAATATTCAAGGCCTTCATTAAAATAAAATGTTTTAATATATTTACCTTCAGGATCTATAACAAAAAATTGTAATATTTCTTCATAAATTCATACAATTTATTACGAATATTACTATGATGTAACGTCTTATATTAAACTATATAAATATGAATAAAATATTCTTAATAATGATGAAATAAGTTTCTTTGGCATAAAACTAAAATATAAAAGATAATGTACAAAAAAACACTTATATAACGATTCAAATATTTCAATAGATAGAATGTAATAAAACTTTTTTAATTTCTTTTTATATAATTTACAGAATAATAATTAAACATTTAAAATAGGAATATTTTAAAAAATAAAGCGTACCCATATTGTGTTTTTTAAATGATTCATTTCTAAGGAATTCTATATAATAGAATGCAAATGTCAAATAATTTAATTAAACAATAAAATTAATAAAATTTACTTCGTTCTTCCTTGGAAATTCCTTTTATTTCATCGACTTAAAAAAAACAAAAATATTATTTAATTTTCTATAAGTTACAGCTGTAATTTAAGGACGATCAGAAAAAAACGTATTTATTTTTAAAAAAACCCAGCACAGGGGGGTCGCGGCACAGTGGTGACGTGGTATAGATGGATTAAGTATAATGATATCTGACAGTGATTTTAATCACTATCAAAAAAAAAACGCTTCGATGCAAATCTTTAGATAGTGTTTAATTTTAAAAAATTGGTGGACTATTCCAAAAGCTACATTATCTGCTAGTTCATTATTAATATCCTAATTAAGATAAAGTATGTAGAATGAAAAAGGGATTATTAAAAAATATTATTTCTCATAAAAAAATAATGTTGATCCATACACTTTTCAATATGTCATAGCATTATAAAGTTAAAAATTTAAAAAATAAAATCGAGAATTTTCACACAATAATAGCATTCGGTAGCCATTTTCACCGTGAAGATAAAATAAAGTCCGAAATTTTTTTTTTTCATGATAAAGTATATTACATTAGCTTTAATTTAAGATATATATAAAAGTGTCAGACCTTCCGGAACATTTTCAAAATTTAAGTTAAAAAAATTAATTTTTTGTGAAAAAGTTGTCATTTTAAATCCCCCCTTGTGGGCAGGTTAAGGGTTAAATTTATGAAAAAAATATACCAAATGAAAGGTAATGATATTATGCATCTATATAAAAAAGAATTATATTGATATGTTCATTTTTGAAAAAGTTATGGCACTTTTAAGTAAAAAAAATTGAAAAAATTTCGAAAATTAGCGATTTTTAAATTTGTAATTTTTTTGGAGGTTTCCCCCATTTACGGGGAACGAGGGAATTTTTTTCAATTTTTAAGGGTAATGTCTTCGACTAGATACGATTTGTGATCTTTTGACGTATCATTGAAAGAAATCGGTTCGGTGAGAGCTGAGAAAAAGTGGTAACAGACACAAAAAAAAAAAAAAAACACATCTTAGTAAAACCAATACCTTCTCAGCTTCGCATCGAAGCTAAAATGGTTACATTACCACGTTGTATAATCACAACCTTTTTATAGAAATATGATAAACTATAGTTGTAACTTGAAGAAAATCGGATAATATTAAATAAATTTCTATTAAAAAATATTTTCAGTCGAATAAATGTGATCTCATAAAAAAATTGTGTTGTCATTTGAAAATCAATAGTGATATGATGTTAGAGTTTAAGGATGATAGCATAAAATTAATTTTTCGTATAAAATGGCTTAATTTTAAACAATTTAAATTATATATTGATTTATTCCTCACGTATTAGTTTTATTTTAAACAAAACCTGAGGTCGCTATCTTATCTAGTATTATACGTCTTTAAATTTAGTCAATTTATTTCGTGCGAAAGGTCTTTTTAAAAATAACAAGATCTATGGGACTACTACATATCGGCCAGAAAAGATTATTTTGAAGGAAATACCTTTTAATAATGTTTATCTTCATTTTTGTAATTATTAAAAATAAAATCTAGGTACTTTTTTAACAGACCTAGTATAGTATAGTATGGGATTTATTAAATAAAATACACTGTAACTTAAGTAAATCCAAAACAATAAAAAGCTACTATTTTTGTCAATTTTACATCCTTTATAACTACATGAAGGAGTGAGTTGTAATAAATTACCAAAATTATTTTCTTATAATATTGAGCCATATGTGGAGAGCTTAATTCTATTTTTTAAGCTAAGAAGGTATTAATTTTACTCTGATGAGTGTTTTTTTTTATTTTAGCTTCGATGCGAAGCTGAGAAGGTATTAATTTTACTATGATGTGTTTTTTTTTGTGTCTGTCACTACTTTTTTTCAAATCTCACAGAACCGATTTCTTTTAACCTACAGGTTCATAGATCTTCAATCATATCTAGTCGAAGACATTACTCTCAAAAATTGAAAAAATGTCTCTCATTCCCTTTAAATGGAGGAATCTCCAAAAAAATTACAAATTTAAAAATTGCTAATTTTAAAAATATTCTAAATGGTATGATATAAGGACAATCTATTATTGTTTTTTTACAATTGATATTAATGGAAAATAAAATGTTGACATGTCAATGTTTAGTATTGCATTATTACTTTTTAAGTTATAATTTAAAGTTTTAGGCAAGTGGGGTACGCTACATAAAAGAATTCTTATCTGTGCGTTATGGTAAATATAACACAATACTGGTTATCGATCAGTCAAACTTTTATTTAAATCATTTAATAGTAAAAAAATAATAGGTTCCTATTTAAATTTTGATTGTTTACCATAATACATATTTATAATAGTTTATATAAATAAATTAAATATTAATGTACATATTTTTGTAAAAGAAACTCATTATTTAACGAAGAAAAGGAATTCAAGCTTATTAAATTACACTGTATAAAGTTAGTGCTTGTTTATACTAAAGAAACATTGAATTATCCTCTTTTTTTAATTTTACATAAAAATGTTATTATAAAATTTATTGTAAGTTTAATATATATTGAAAAAAAAGTAAAATGTATTATATATATATTTTTTTTTTTTGGTAAAACTGTTAATTTAAGGTTATTAAATTAAATAAAACCCAGTACAGGGGGGTCGCAGCACAGTGGTGACGTGTCATAGTTGGGTCTAAGTATAATGATATCTGACAGTGATTAAAATCACTGTCATAAAAAACGCTTCGATGCAAATCTTTAGATTTGCATAATTTAAAAAAATTGGTGGATTATTACAAAAGCTACATGATCTGCTATTTCCTTATTTATATACTGATTAAGATAAAGTATGTCGATTGAAAGAGGGACATAAATAATATTTCTCATAAAAAAATTATATTGATCCGTACATTTTCAAAAAGTTATAGCATTTTAAAGTTAAAAATGTAAAATATAAAATCGTGAATTTTCATACAAAAATAGCATTTGGTAGCCATTTCGGAAGACAAAATAAAGTCCGGAATTTGTTTTCTATGATAAAGTATATTATATTAGCTTTAATTTAAGATATATATTAAAGTGTCAGACTTTCCGGAACACTTTCAAAAGTTAAGTTGGAAAAGTTATTTTTTATGAAAAAGTTGTCATTTTAAATCTCCCCCTTTGGGCAGGTTAAGTATTTGATTTAAAAAAAATATATACCAAATGAAAGGTAAAGTCATCATTAATCTACAAAAAAAAAGTATATTAATTTTATAATTTTTAAAAAAAGGAAGCACTTTTAATTTTAAAAAAATTTCAAAAATTAGCGATTTTTAAATTTATAATTTTTTTGGAGATTTCCTCCATTAACGAGGGGAACGAGGGAACTTTTTCTATTTTTGAGGATAATGTCTTCGACTAGATACGATTTGTGATCTTTTGACGTATCGTTGAAAGAAATCAGTCCAGTGAAAATTGAGAAAAAGTGGCAACGACACAAAAAAAAACACATCATAATAAAACCAATACTTTCTCAGCTTCGCATCGAAGCTAAAATATAAAATATAAAATCGAGAATTTTCACACAAAAATAGTTCTAAAAATTTTGTTCTAAAATTACAATTTATTTAATTGATCATCGTTTATGATAAAGGTTTTATAATGTTTCTACACAATTAAAGTTACGGTATTTAACTTTGATGGGAAAAAAAAATATTTACCTACATATTATTGTAGAGTTTTTTGAATTGAACAATATTTTTTTTATAAAAATTAAAAACTTTGATTTGTTTCTTAGAAAATTTTTATCTTATCCTTAAATTAATCATTTTATAAATATTTTAAGTAGTAATCATGTTTTATCATATTTACAAAAAGGTAATTACTTTGTTTTAACTCGTTTACAAAGTCCATAAAGTTCTTATCATCTATACCACAAAAATACAAAAATTAATATTTGTACATAAATATTGGTTCATGACAATGACTGTTAGTGCTTCAGATAAAATATTTGTAGTGGCCTCTTTAAATTACGAAGTTTCCTCCCAAGTAGCCTATTTTGGGTGTAAAGTAGTTTTTAGAAAAATATTTCACTTTAAACGTCATTTTCTCGCTTCTTTTAAAAAATCTTATAAAATGTAATATATTTTTAACAATTATTTTTTAATACAAAGTTTTAAATTGACACTAAAATATATTACATCGTCAATTGCAAACAATTTTAATAAATTCAAATAATTAAAATATATCGAGAAACCAACCATGAGACATTTCACCGTTCATGAAACTTACAACATTATCGTTTTAATTAAAAAAAAAAAGATTAATGACATAATTATAAATATAAATAACTACAAGTCATAATATAATCTGAGGTAAAAGAACAATTTCTTTTTATTGTTAATAAGGCTTTTGCAGCTCTGACCATTAGCTTCTAGAGACTAGTTAGTATTGAGTAAGTTTTAACAAATTAATTATTAATAAACTGATTGACCAGAATTTTTAAAAAAATAATGGCAATATTTATTGATTTTTTTTAGAATTCAATCGAAAAAAAAAAGTCTCATAAAATTGTTTTATAAACTTAAACTAGTATTCTTAAATAATGAAATATAACAAAAAAGTATAAAAATTTATTTTAATTTTTATAATGTATTCAATTTTAGCTCGATGATTTTGTAATAACTAAAATTGTATGTAAAAATAGTCGAAGATTTAATTTATAAACTATTGGTTCATAACTAATTTAATTATTTATTTTAATATTGAGAAACCAACCATGATCTATTTCCTCGTTTATGAAACTTAAATCATTTTCGTCTTAAACAAATAAAAAAATTAGTGACACAATTATAAATATAAATAATTACAAGTCATAATATAATCTGAGGGTAAAAGAACAATTTCTTTTTATTGTTAATAAGGCTTTTGCAGCTCTGACCATTAGCTTCTAGAGACTAGTTAGTATTGAGTAAGTTTTAACAAATTAATTATTAATAAACTGATTGACCAGAATTTTTAAAAAAATAATGGCAATATTTATTGATTTTTTTTAGAATTCAATCGAAAAAAAAAAGTCTCATAAAATTGTTTTATAAACTTAAACTAGTATTCTTAAATAATGAAATATAACAAAAAAGTATAAAAATTTATTTTAATTTTTATAATGTATTCAATTTTAGCTCGATGATTTTGTAATAACTAAAATTGTATGTAAAAATAGTCGAAGATTTAATTTATAAACTATTGGTTCATAACTAATTTAATTATTTATTTTAATATTGAGAAACCAACCATGATCTATTTCCTCGTTTATGAAACTTAAATCATTTTCGTCTTAAACAAATAAAAAAATTAGTGACACAATTATAAATATAAATAATTACAAGTCATAATATAATCTGAGGGTAAAAGAACAATTTCTTTTTATTGTTAATAAGGCTTTTGCAGCTCTGACCATTAGCTTCTAGAGACTAGTTAGTATTGAGTAAGTTTTAACAAATTAATTATTAATAAACTGATTGACCAGAATTTTTAACAAAATAATGGCAATATTTATTGATTTTTTTTAGAATTCAATATTATAATAATTAATTATAATGATTGAAAAGGAAGATTTATATGAGAGTGTAATTTTTTTTCTAATAATATTTTTTAATAGATAAGACAATTACAAAAAAATTTAAGTAAAAATTATTAGATAAATTATTCAAATTTCATAAAAGCATGTATAAACCTCATTTATTTGAAAATAAGTATAAAATATATTCATAGAGCTAAGCTGGATTATACTCTAAATCAAAATTTTTTCTTTAAATTTCATGGTAAAAATTGTATGTAAAAAAATAATTTTTATAAAATAGTATTCATTTAATCCCTTAATCATATCACTCAAAATTGATTAATAAAAATACTATATATCCAATCAAAAAAAAAATCAAGTCTCATAAAATTGTTATATAAACTTAAACTGGTATTCTTAAATAATGAAATATAACAAAAAAGTATAAAAATTTATTTTAATCCTTATAATGTATTCAATTTTAGCTCGATGATTTTCTAACAACTAAAATTGTATGTAAAAATAGTCGATGATTTGATTTATAAACTTATTGGTTCATAACTAATTTAATTATTTATTTTAATATTGAGAAACCAACCATGATATATTTCCTCGTTTGTGAAACTTAAATCATTTTCGTCTTAAATAAATAAAAAGATTAATGACACAATTATAAATATAAATAACTACAAGTCATAATATAATCTGAGTGTAAAAGTGAGAACTGTTTTTTATTGTTAAAAGGCTTTGGCAGATCGAAAATATAAATACTAGAATCCTTCAAGCCTAACGATAATATTTTGTTAGTTAAACATTTTAAATTAGTTAATAATATTTATTTAAAAAGTAATAATATTCATTATTGTTGGTAAAAATTCTTCAATATATATTTTTTAATTATATAAATATATTGGAATACATACCTAAATCTAATGATAAATCAAGTGTTTTACCAGTAGTACCACGGACACCTTTTGGACGAAAAATTTCCTTTTAATTTGCTTTATAATATTTTTATACTTCAGAGGTAAATTATCTCATATTTCATATAAAAATTGAGGGCTTATGATAGTTTACCTTATAGTAGAATTGTTAATATATGTACTAAATATTACATTTATATATGAATAAATCAAAAATCATCTAAAGAATGTTCCTTTTTAGGGTATTAAAAATAACAATTTATTAACACATGTTTCAACCCCTAACCCAGCCATACCAAGTGAGAGGGTTGCTAACTTATCACAGGGTTGTTAGTCGAAAGGTAAAGTGACAATTGGGATCTTCTGTCGCACCTGGCGCACCATAGAGTATACAGCCTTATCACAGTAACGAACTCTGTTGTGATGAACCTTTATTTCTCGACTACTCGTGGGCACTATATAAATAAAAACATACAAACACCGCAAAATAACGAGCCTGCTACAAACAAGGATTCTACGGACAATGTGTCGGAACAAGAACGTGAACTGGCGACTCTTCGCAGAAGAATCGCCGAACTTGATGGTGTCAATGCGAACAACGGGACACTTGGTGAACCGTCTAATAGCAAAGAGACAGCAACGTCAAAAAATGCAGACCAGGAATCGCAAGATCGACTGGGAACAGAGCAGGGGCTACGCATTGAATATTGTGTTGGAGACTTGATACTGTCGGGTCCTTATGGAACCGACGTACCAAGGTTTGAAGACACCAGATTCATTCATGGAATACTTGTGATCAGTGCAGCCCAAAAGAGCTCTCTTAAGTGGCTCACTGATCATGTCAACCTGATAAAACCTTAGGACGGTGCAGAAATCCAAATAGAAGCCTAAAACCCGATCAAGTACAAACGAATGGTCACTCATATACTTATGTAATATAAAAATAAATTTTAACATAAAAATACTCAAAACATTAATGTACAACGAAAAAAAATATATACGATACTCAGTCCCGGATGGGACTCATCCAAAGATGGGGATCTCGGCCCCGGAAAATGGCCGACGCCTTACAAAAGTTAATACATAATTCAAAAACAATGTCACACGCGGAAAAAAACAAAATAATGTTGGTTGTAGGCACACAGCCAAAATACCACGACGATTGTTCAAAGGGGGAAGTGAGAGTCAATTTTTTTTACACACCGCGCGAAACACACCGACGACGACGATCACGTTTGAGAGAGGGTATCGGCTTAACAATTTACAAAATATAAAAAATATATAAGTATGAACAATATTAAAATTATACAGGTATTGATAGTGGTGACCAGTTTCATATAGGAACGATTATTAAATTGATAAAGAATATTGTGTGTATAGCGTTCACCTTGATAACAACAGTACAGTTTTCTGATTATACGGCCGGATATAACGTACGCGCGCCCATTAGCAAAGCAAAACAGTAAATTTATCGGTTCCGGAGATTGCCACGAACTGATGATGCCCCGACATTCATTTACTCCGACACTGTAAAAAAATCCTCCGAATACATTTACTCCGACAACAATTACTACGAATACCTGGTTACAAAAATTTGGATGTTACTACGACTACGAATACTCCGAATAGGACTATTAATTGATTGCTCCGAATGAAATTAGCTCCGAATATCGATTATTCGCGAAATCGATTAAAAAATTATCAAATTTCGGAGTAGATGAATATCGTAGCAATATATTATCTGATGGAAAAATATAACCCTTATCACTAATTAATAAATATTAATTAATATAATAAAATAGCGTTATAATTGATTACTGTCTATTAACGATTATATTATTATATTATTANAGGCTATTCAGATATTTTTTTCAAGGAAATATTAAACTGATTTCAATAAATGTATATTAGATTTTAAACAAAAAGAACTTTAAATAAATAATTTTTTACTCCTTAATATTTTTAACTTTTTTTTGAGCACCACTGGAGATTATAATGGTTTTACTTATAATTTAACATTGATTATAAAACTCATGTCACAAAATTAAATTTTTTTAACGATGAGTTAATATATTTTTAATTTTAGATGACACACAGAATTTTTAAATAAGAAAAAATTAATTCTACTTATATATAACCAAAACTTACTAATTCTTAGCATAACTCATATTAGACTTGTAGCAAAACTTACACAGTTTAATACTATTTTAATTTTTTTTAATATAAGTTAAAAATAATTTTAGTAATTAATTTTCAATTAAAATTGCTGAAAGAAAAATTAATCATACTCTTCTGAGTCTATAAAAACCTATTGGAAGAAACTTCCAGAAAGTAATAAGACTAAAAAAAATGTGTTCAACAATTACTGCATTGAAGTTGTATACACTGTGTTATTTTATACTTAGATATCCTAATGCAGCACAGGAAAAAATCCAGACATCCCCAAGAATGATTTTATATTGTACAAACAATTTTATGTGTTATATTAGTTATTATTTTTTAATATTACACACTTAGGAATTAATCACTAATAAAATTGCACAAGACAATTTTTACAGCAAATATTTCTTATAGAAAAATTAGTTTTCAAATGGATCTCTTAGATGTTAAAAAATAAGTTACTGTTAGATAAAATTTTGTGGATCGACTGAAAAAACAGTTAACTAACAGTTTTTTGATTTGATGAAAATATTTTGTAATTATTGGATAATTAAAAAATAAAATTCTCAAAGATAAATATATATTCTAACAATAGAGAAAACTTTTTCAAAAATGTACATTTGTATTAAACACTATTAATTTTATGTTACTTAATGAATGACTATTATCATTCGAGTATTAATAACATATGTCAAATGTGAGAAATTGTACCAGAAAATAATAAGCAAAATATATATTTTTGTATAATAACTATAGTAGCAAATAAATGCTAATTGAATAGAACATTTTAATTTAAATTTTACAATACTATTAATAATAATATAATTAATTTAATAATGTAGTGTTTCTGTTGCCACGTGACCCTGACGTTGCAACATATACGATCAATGCGCCTTATTACTAACAATGCAATCGAAATATAATATAATTTTCGATGCATAATCAAAGTATCGATAATGTCAGAATTTTTACTATCTCATTTTTTAAATTTAATGTCGGAGTAAAATCCGTCAAAATTTTGGTAACCTATGAATCAGATGGTTGGAGTACCAGATGTTCGTAACAATTACTACTTTGTCAAATGTCGAAGTATGTAAATGTCGGAGCATCATCAGTTCGTGGCAAAGGTGCTCTCCCAAATTTATCTATACCATAAAAATTCAAATTTTGTCACGTTACACGGTAAAAACCAAAAAATAAATAAAAAATGTTTAAATCTATTTTTTATCTAATTTATAATTTATTTTGTAATGAATCACAATTTAAATCAACTAGATGATAGTAAAATAATATATATATATATTTAAACTTACTTAATACTTTATTTTCTAAAAATAAATTTATAATTTAAATTAATTAATTTCCATGTTTATATTAATGGAATAACATATTAAATATTTACTGCAGCTAATATTATTTCATACTATTATTTTAAATTATTATATGCATGTTACTCTGATATAGTTATTGACTAAGACACTCATTTTATCGAAAACTATTGAAAAGTTTTAATTTTTGTTAAGAGAAAAATTATTTGGTTCAAAGAACTACAATATTATATAATTGAATAGACATTTTTGTCAATCCTTTGAGATTGAGAACCTAAAAATTAATTTTTTCATAAAAGTCCTTATTTTTAATTTGATAATATATTATGTTTAGTAACTTGATGGATATATGTAACAATACCATATCTCACTGATATTGAACGAGCCATTTTACATTATCAACATGTCAGAAGTCAAAAAATCTTTAAATTTCTATAACTATATAAATATTTTTTTAGAAAAAAAAGAAATGTTATCACTTAAATTTATAATTACTTTTATCAAAATGAGCCCCACAAGTTTTACATGGTAAATAGTCTGATAAGTCATCCAGACAGTCCCTGCAGTATACTTGTTGACAGCACGGCGCTTTAACTTGACGATCGGGTGGCGATTTATGGCAATACATACACACTGAAAATAAGTTTAATAAATAAATAATATTTAAATAAGTATGTATTAATTGGAAAATAAAAAAAATTTTAATTCAAAAGCCACAAAACTTATTAAAAAACTGCGGATACATATTTCGGGAACAATGTTACCATTATCATCCTTAAAAACATACTATACATATAATCATATTATTATGTGTATGTGTTGACAAAAAAAAAAAATAGTTTTATTAAAAAACCAAACATTTTCTAGTTATTATGATTTTGAGGGGAATCAAATAATTAACGTAAAAAGAATCATTCTATATAATAAATAATATATATACTGTATATTAGCTTTGATGAGAAGCTGAGAAACTGAGAAGGTAATAATTTTATTATAATATGTTTTTTTTTTGTGTCTGTTACCACTTTTTTTCAGCTCTCACCAAACCGATTTCTTTCAACGATACGATATTGATCAAAAATTGTATCTAGTCGAAGACATTGCCCTTAAAAATGTTAAAAATTCTCTCATTCTCTGTAAATGGCGGAAATCCCCATAAAATATTCAATGGTAATTTTTTAACTTAACTTTTGAAAATGGTCCGGAAATACTGACACTTTTATATGTATCTTAAATTAAAGCTTATGTGATATACTTAAATTTGTAAAAAAATGACTTCTGAACATATCTTGCTGGTGAAAACATACATTAAAGTTAAATAAAAAGTACAATTTTTGGGAAAAATTGTTATTTTTTTATTAAATTGTTGTATAAAAACTTAATTAAAATGTGTTTATTCGAAATTAGTAAACTCTTGCATTGGCGTATTAAGAAAAGGGTAACAGGGAACCAAACTCCTTATTTTTTTTTTCAAAAATAATTATTTTGACTTTAAACTTAAAGAATTTAAAAAAAAATGTTATTTTAAAATACCTTACAAAAAGAGAACTGAATTTTATGAATCATTATTGTGTAAAAATTGGAATTAAATTTTCAAAAGTTAGTTTTTTGTGGAAATATTACCATTTTAAAATCCTCCTGTGGGCAGGTAAAGGGTTAAATCGGTAGTAAAATCTTCTCATCATCACTTCAAAGTTAAAGTATAAGAGATTTGGTATTATAGATAATATGAAAGAGAATTACTGAATAAAAAACTTGAGGATGGATGTTTTCAAATATTATATTAGAAAACTATATATAGCTAGAAGATATAACTGAGAATCCTAAGCATTTGCATAAAATGTATTTGAAGTTGACACATTTTATTGAATAGCATAAAAAATACTATAATAAGTGACATTAATAGGAAAGACAGGCAAAATTAGCTTACAAAAAAAATAAATATCATAATTGAAAAAAAGAGCAATTGGCTGAATTTTTAGAAAAATAATTATTAGAATAAATATATAAAATTTGAATAATAAGTATGTTAAAAAAAATATTAATTGATAGTTTCGGTAAATATCAAAACTTTTTGCAGGAAAAACGGTAAAAAAAAAATAACTAATTTAAAATGTTGATAAATTAAAAAAAAGTTTTTTCTTTTTAGAGATAAATTAAATATATAAATAAATATGTTTTTATTATAGACTGAAAATTTAAAAATTGTAAATAAATTTACAACAAAATGATAATCGGATCAAAAATCATAAGATTTTTTTATTAGATTTGGGACACAATACAAATGGATAAAAATTCGACAGAAAATCATATTCATATCTAAAAAATGTTTAATGAAATCATGTTTTACATTATTTGATGTTTAATAATATTTGAGTAACATAATTATTGCGACACCCTATTTTCCTCATTTAAAAATTTTGATCACTGTACTTTTTGTTTTTCCTTTATACTAAAATAATTAATTTAATTCTTATTTAACTTACATACATCTTTGACAGGATAATCACCTGAAACAATAATGTTCATAAATAGCTTACCAAATAATGACACAAACATATTTGCAAAATTTGAAATTATGTATTACGAAAAAATTTTAAAAATTAGATCTTTTATAATAACTAGATAATATTGTTGTACCAAATTATAATTAATTCAACTAAAAATTCTCCATATTTTACTATAACTAAATTTAAAAAATTTTCAATATAGAGTGGAGCACATTTTGTGACCACTTTTAGAAGCAATTTTAATTTTAATATTGTATACTACTTGATCAGAATTTATTTAGTTTTCAAAACTTTTTAGTCTTATCTCAACTATAATAAAATTTAAATACTGTTTTATGGTTGTATTCGTGATAGATGTACATAGTTTCATAAACAAGGTGTTTCTTTTAACGCTAGACACTAAATTAAAATATGTTTTTTGTGAATTTTTTTTTAGTTTTTGTTAATTAAATTTATCTGTTATAAAATATTTTTTATGTTCATCCCTTATATCTTATAAGGGTGTTAATTTTATTTTAAATAGCAATATATGTATTTTCATAGCTTAATAAATATAATATGATATAATTAAGAAAATGATTGATCAATAAAACTTTTGGTCTAATAATTTGGAAGTTATTAACATTTTAAAATATAGACTGGAATTAAAGCGAGAATATTGCTATTTTTATCATTAGTCACTTCTCGACCGCTCTCCTCCTCCTACTTAGGAGCAAAATAGTAAATATCTTCCGAAACATTGGTCTAAAAGCCATTTTCTTAATTAGATCATTTACTATTTTATAAGCTAGTTAAATACATATGTTGCCATTTGGAAAAATAAAGTTGACATCCCTATAAGATCAAGTATCTAGCATTAAAAAAATCACCTTGTAGTCACCTACATTATGGTGGGATGCTGATTAGAATATTATGTGGCTTTGCCCTATTTAATTAATACAATTAAAATTTTTTTAACTTTGATGAGTTATTTATACTTATTAAATATTCAAGTTTTATTATACAGCATTATTGCAATTAGTTTTATCCGTATATATTAAATACATTTTAAATATTATTAGGATTAGTAATAGTATAAAATGCTTCCGTACTTGCTGCTTTACACCATGAAAAATTTAAAACCATCAAGAAGAATAATTTCTGTGAACACAAATAAATAAATGATATTTAAACTAAAAGTCTTTTATGATACATACCATTTTTTTCATTTTAGTAATAGTTTGAAAATGTTTGTGTGAGTAATTAAATTTTCTTTCAAGAATTAGTTATAATATGTAAGAAAATTTTAAAGTTTTAGAAGCTATAATTGAAAGAGTGTATAAATGAAATAATGTACAAATTTTACCTATATATTCTGACATATTTCATCCCGAGCAAACAAAACGCAATATTTGCAAACAGAAAATAAACATATTTTTGCTCTTTATAAAGCAAAATAGTTTTAGATTAATTTTATTTAAAAAAATAAATCATCTTTTTATAGTATATTTGCTGATTATCACTTTTTTTTTATAACAGTTCCATATTAAATTTTAAATATTTTAATATTTTATTCTGTTATTTTTAACTAAAATTCACATATTGAAATGTTTGAGATTTTTGAACATTTAAAGTTCTAGTTTTCTAGTAACCCATTACACAACACTATTTATAAAAAACATTTCATGCCTTTAATGTTTGGATTTTTCCATAAATTAGATATATTAATAATTTAAAATTTAGTAGAATGAAAATCAATTATTAAATTTAAATAAAGTTAAAAATTTATGGCTAATAAAAAAAAATATTAATTTTTATTTTATTTTATAAGCACACGAAAATATTAAGCTATGGTTTATAAATAAATTTTGTTTATTAGTGACATTTTCTATTTACTTTAAAACATATGAATTTAATTTATACGTTATTATGCATAATTTATATAATGAAATTGTATTTTATTCCAATTTAATGATATTAAATCATATTTTTTTTTATTAAAATTGAAATAATTACTATATTTCAGTTATGTCTAAAAATATGTTTATATCAAACAGCGAAGATCAGTATTCTGAAATTTTGCAACGTTCCTTGGGTGATTTCCTAGTAAAATTAGGTAATGTCTGAAAAACGTATTGCCAACTTGATGTAAAACTTATTAATGTTGAAAAAATTAATTTTTTGAGATTATAGTCGTAAACTGAAAAAATGAACATTTAATATAGTGACAAATCTTATAAAAAAAAAGAGGAATATCTAAATAAATGGTTGGGTTAAGCGAATACATAGTTATTCCAACTGTCTTAATTTGAATTGTCGCTATATTAACCATTTTCTTTTTCAACAAATTAATTAAAATGAAATCATAAAAATAAATGTAGACATTCATGAGTTCTTATTCTAAATTAACTGAAAATATAAAACTGTTTGGAAAGTTTTGTTGGAAGTTAATAGTATATACTACACACACCAACATAATTGTCTTTCCATTAATATATTTTTTTACTTCATCATTAATATTTATAAATTTATTATAGGCGAAGGTGCAATAATGGTTATTGGTGCCTCATTGATGTTAAGCAGAAGTAACATATTTTTTTCCATGTATAATGCTATATTATATATAAAACTATTGAAAATATATATTTAGGAATATGGCCAATTTTATTTGGAATGTCTTATGGTGCTGGTATAGCATTTGGTAACATTTCCTCAGAAATTTCAAAAAATAATTTAAAAGTAAAAAATTGTAAAGAAAATTAGCTGATGACACAAATAATACATAGCAAACAATCAATAGTTTCCTTGGAAACCCGTGAATTATATTTATGTATAATAGCTAAACTAAACGAATAAAGATTTCAATTATTTAAAACTCCTTCATATATATATACATTATATATATATTAAAAATTATAAACTAGCAATCTAAAAATAATTTGTAAAATTATAAATACCTAATCATAAATAATTTATTATTGTAATAAATGTTTAGTACATTATAGGGTCATTAAACTGTTAGTTGTTTTAAGACAATTTACGATTTTATTTTTGCTTTTATTAAGTCAATGATAAATATTTTATAACGAATATTTTTTTAATTGGGTTCAAAACTCGGTGACGGGTGGCTTCATTTGCCAAATGATCTATTCGGTAATTGGAATCGCCACCCCCCTCTCTCCGGCGACGGACTAACCACCCGTCCCGGAGTATAAATGGTTAAGAAAACCTCCTCCTTTGGGAGAGTCCGCTGTGGCCTTTAAATGAGCCGATAAAAGTACTAAAAATAATAATAATAATGATGAATACTGCATGGAAAAAAAAAAAAATATATATATATATATATTAGAAGCTACTTAAAAAAATTGTCGGGGCACTTATTCAAATAATTTGTTTTGCTAATAAATGTTCAAGATATAATATATTAAATTTTAAAGGTCTCTACCAATTGATAACTATTTTGGTTGTATAAAGTCATTAAAATTTATTTATTTCCGCATTTCCTAATCTGTATATTGAGTGAATTATATTATCAATAATAATTACGGATAATAAACGAATTTTAATAACTCTGAGTAGTATAGAATAAAGTTATGGACAGCATAATCTCTAATGATAACTAATTGATCATAAATATCAAACATTTTAATTAATGTCCATTATCATTTGTAATTTTTTTAACGCTTCGACAAGAATTTTTATAAAAATTATAAGTAAGGTTTTTATTTGTCTATAAAAAGTCTTTTTATTTTAAGTCTATTAGTTACGTTTTAAATAATTTTATTATTTTCTATTGTTGATATAGAAGTTATTTTTTTTATAATTATGGCTACTAGTATCAGTAATACAATTGTTTTAACTTAAAAAATAATACTGAAACGTGGTTGGTTGTTCAAATATCACCACATTTAAACCATTGTAAATCTCTTAAAAAAAAAAGTGTTGAGCCTTTTTTATTTTATCAAAAAAATTCATGAAAAAAAAAATTAAAGATTTAGTTAATTTTATCACAACATATATAATACAAATTTGGGAAAAGACAATGTATCTATTAAAATAATAAATTATGTTAAATAATTGGGGGACGGCCTAAAAGACGGACCGTCCGCCACGGACTTCCAAAAACTTCCAGAAATTTCCAATATATTCCAAAAAATTCCAGAAAATTATAATACACATAATATGATTTGATGGGGATATATTATATCCATACCATATCTTATTGTGGGGATAAAATATATCCCAACATATATTATATGTACATATAATATATGTTATATTATATTAACCGGACGGTCCGTGTTTTAGGCTATCCCCAGTGAATAGAAGGACATCCCGTTAATATTAGTAATATAAATAGAAAATGAACAAAAAATGAGGCTGAGGCTGAATTGAGAATTGATAATTTGAAAAGAATGAATAGAAAGGATAAAAATCTATTAAATTACTGACTAAAATGTCAAATGTCATATAGTTTTATCCTCTTATTCAAGTGAATGTAGTGAATTATTAGACAACAATAAATGTTTTATTGATGAATCATCAACTAGTAAATCATCTCTAATAAAGCGTAATAGAAAGAGACTTTTTGATCAAAACTTAACTGCAAAATTAAGTGATTGGAAAGCTGCTATAGTATTAACAAATATAATAAGGTGTCTTGGTTTTGTTTCTTTAGAATATAATATTAATTCTTTTACTATTCGTCATCAATGTTACAAAGTAGAGAAAAATTTGCAGAATAATTAAATAGTGTATTTCATCAAAAGTTCCTCTAACTATTCACTGGGATGGAAAGATTCTTATAATCTTGGCATGAAACTGTTTATCATCTTCCAATTTTGATGTAAGTGTAAACCAACTATCCACCTTGCAAAATTCTGTTTAAAAACATTCCAATGATGTAAAATAAGAACATGCGATGTTATTATTCAGAGTCCATCGATATTATTAAGATGTGTTATGCGAATGCTCTTGCCAAGTTGATCTACTTTTTTAAAAGTCCTCTCTATGATGTTATAGTATGATATTTATAAAACCACCGTTTACTATATCAGCATAACACCCTATTATGATTTCTATGTTCTTATAATTTATTACATCTACAACATGTTGGACATAAACAACTTAACACAAAACTTTGTTTGGTTACATTCAAGTCTATGAGATATTTATTGAAAAACATTTAAATAATATGATGCAAAATAAATTATTCATGGTTGACTTAACAAATGTAAATATAAAACAAAATCAAGTAATAATACTTTTATTACAGATAATAAAATATACAAATATTAAAATTACATAATGTAATAATAAATTAATATATTAAATTAAAAATGTAATAATGCTTAATATAACTTGCATAAATTTTGTACTTCCATAAAAAAAATTCCCATCAGCTGTTAAAATAAAATTTTAATATTTTAATATAAATTTAAATACATTTTTAATTATACTATAATTATAATAATAAAAAAGAGACAAATTAATGTAAATATGTAATTATACCTCATTTTGACTTAAAGACATTACAATGTCTATATAATATCCATTAATTAATTTATAGTTTTCTACAAAATCAGTACTATCATGATCACTACATAAAATTTAATTTTTCTAGTATTCTATTAGCAGCATGTATTGGGAAACGTGAAAGAGAAATAACTTTTTTTAAATGCCCTAAAATTGTGTAGGCCATTAACCATAACATAATATGGAAGGTGTATTAAACTGCAAGATGGGGGATTACTCTTACTTTCTTCTCAAATATTATTTATGATTCTGTGCAAGCACTTTGCAATTTGCAGAAGGGTGCTTAAAATTGTTTATGCACTCTAATAATTTGAAAATTAAAGCTTAAAAAATATTAATAATTTTTTAAGTTGTGACTAAATAAATTTATAAAATTGTTAATTAAAAATTTAGTTAAATATTACATTATTATATGTTATTTAAATAGATTTAACAGAGTGATTGATCTATTACTGACTATATTAAATTTCTCCTAAAATAATAACAATCTTGAAATTTTTTTTGCTTTGATAACTATTTATTTAATGAAATATTAATTTAGTAGTGGTTAAATATGTTTTAGATCCACCCCCTATCCTTATTAATATTACTAATTAAAATTGTTTAAATAGCTAATAAAATAGACAATTATTTAATTAAATAAATGACAGATAGATAATAATTTTTGGACCAATACTTTGTAACTTATTAACATATTTATACTTGGGTGAGTAGAAGTATACAGTTGAAGATGTGTAACGATAAAATCCTATAACTGATATACTAGAAGAGAGTTATTATAGATTGCTAAAATGAAAACTAAACAATAATTGGCGACAAATTCATTAATTTTTTAGAATTTGATGGACCGATATTTGAGAAAATTAATACTGAAGTCAAACAAACTAAGTAGTAAGAGTAACAAATTCTCAAGTAATCAGATCAACAAAATTAAAGTGTTATTAATGTATAATACAAATACTTAGCGGCCAACTAGCAAGTTAAAAATACGAATTTTATTTTTTAGATAGAAATATACATTTTTAACTCAATTACATAATAGCAAATGGTCTAACTAAAAAAAAATGACTGATAGATAATAATCATTGGACCAGTAATAAGCATTTAATAATAAAAATAGTCATAATTGGTCACAAATAATTTTAGACAATAAATTTAAAAATATACAAGAAACTAATTGATGACAAATTCATTGATTATGTTTCAATTGAGATATTTGAGAAAATTAATACTGAAGACAAACGAGCAACAAATTTAAATTGTCATAAAAGTATACTGCAGTGAACAAACTGCATGAAATAACGTAACTCATGGAACTTGGCCAAATGGTATGATACAAAAAAAAAAGATCCTACATTTCTCTATAGTCACTCAGTTGAATTCGTTTCTGTCTCATGGGTTAGAAATAAATTCAAAAGTAAATTGGCAACGTTGCTTCCATAAGTCTGTATAATTAAAAGAGACAGAGCATTAGATTTCTTAATGCTTATGACATCAGACATTGCCAGTTTGCTTATTGACATATATTTTATTTGAATTTGTCGCCTTTTTAAAATATCTATTTCATCTGCTGCAAACAATGTTTGAACTTATATTATAAATTGTAATAATAATATACAAAGTGTTTTTTTTTATCATAACCCACTCAATTACTACAAATTAATAATAAATTAAACATTTTTTTTTTCAATTATCTTTAGTTACACATCATTCTTGAATTATTAACTATGTAATACTTTTTAAGTTCATACCTTATGCCTGGTAAGGGTGTCAACTTTGTTTTTTTAAATGGGAACACATATTTTGAGTTTAATAAGATGTTTGAGTTTTTAATTAAATAGTAAATGGCATTTGAATTTTTAGTATAATTTTATCTGTTTATTAGATATTAACATTTAAAGTTACAAATTTTTTATATATATATATATACAGGGTGTTCAGTAAGTCAGGAAACGGGTTTCTATTGTTTTCATTGTTACAAACAATTATATTGTTCTCATTGTTTGTAACAATGAAAACAATAGAAACCCGTTTCCTGACTTACTGAACACTCTGTATACATCATCACTTAAGTTAATTGTGTTACACATTATTCAACAACTACTTTTACTATAATATAGTAGTATTTCTGTTTTGTTCTTTTTTAGCAGAAATTGTTGTTATGTTTGATGGAAGTTTTTAATTTTCTTTTTACATTTTATTTTAAACTAAATGTATATTGTAATTTACATTACTAAATAATAGTTGAAAATCAATCTACTTAAGATAACCAATCCTCACAAAAAAATTCAACAGATTTGATACTTCATGGTAGTTATTTTTACTGTTATTATTATCTTTTGGTATAACGTTCTTTTATTCAATTATATGCTGTTCACCATGTCTTCGGTTTAGTCAATATTTGTTACACATTATTCAAATATCGCTTTAACTATAATATCGTATTATTTTCGTGTTGTTCTTTTTTAGCAGATATTGTTGTTATGTATGATGGAAGTTTTAAATTTTCTTTTTACAATTTATTTTAAACTAAATATATATTGTAAATTACATTAATTAAAAATAAATTATAGTTAAAAAGCATTTTACATAAGATAACTAATCCTCGCAAAAGAAAAAAATCAACAAATTTGATACTTTATGGTAGATAATTTTACTGTTGCGGCCTATGTCATATCGAACGGCCGCTAGAATAAATGACACTTATCGTCTATTGTATTTTTTATCTTAGACCAGTAAAAAATCAATTGATCGAAAATCTGTCAGATATTTGCGTGGAGTTGTTTTTTTAACAATAGAAAACATTCTTGTCACGAATATAAGTCGACTGTATATATTGTATTCGAGGGTGGTAGGACTGATTAATCGTCCTTTTAGTAACTTATTTTTAAGTAGCTGACAAAAATCAGATATTCGTTTTCTGAAAAATTAACTATTAACCAATAAAAAAATTAAGATAATCATGAAAAATTTGAAAAAAGTTAAGTTTAAACTTTAGATATAATTGAAATTATTGAGAAATTAATTATTTAAATTTTAGCCGATTATAAATTAATTCATTTCGTCCTAAAATATAGAATAAAAGTATTTTTATATCTTTTTAAGTAGCTATTTCCAGAGCAAAACAGGATCCACTAAAAGCTAACAGATTACTATATATTAAAGGTGATTGTGTCATAGATTAAAATATTTTTACTAATATTATAACTATTGAGTGGCGACTAGTATGTATATCATGTGGATATGATGATGGTAGATAATGTGGCGACTTCCATCACTGCCAGCTGTTTGTTATATTCTTCAGTGTTACCGTTTTTATGTCGCGTGATTATTTTGTTGTATTTTGTCAAATATTGTTGGTATTCGTCATGAGTTTTTGATATGTAATCGTGCCTATCTGTGTGCCTTTTCATATGTGAATTCTAAATATATCGTCTTCCCTTTCTACACCAGTTCTCGCCTTGATCGCTCATGTTATACTTTCATGTTATTGTCTCGATCGTTCCACTGATGAATACATTTGTTTTTCTTTGCTAGTTTGGATTTAGTCTATGTGTCTTTATAAATAAAAAATTTAAAGCGCCTTTGGTTTGGCAGTTATTAAATCTGTATTGTTTATTGCTCATTTGGGTATTGTGACTTAGTTCGATTGACATATTAGAAGTATCAGCTTAATCTCTTAAAGATTGTAGATTGTATGTGTATAAATTCTTGATTATAATGCCAGATATACAGAGTGTTCAGTTAGTAAGGAAACAGGTAAATTGTTATAAACAATGAGAACAATAGAAACCCGTTTCCTTACTTACTGAACACTCTATATTTATTTATTCAACGGGATTGACCCTTATAATACAAAAATATAGTTACAGAAAATGAAAAAAAAAACAGTAATATAAAAATAATAAACATTAAGAACAAACAAACATTTAAACAAAAGTAAATATAATAAATGTTTAATTGAAATTAAAAGAGGGGTCTTCATTGGCATTTTTTATTAAACGTTTAATTGGCTCATTATAATTATAATTAGAACAACAGATAGGTATGAAGAAGGGAGCGTGATTTCTGGATTTTCTCTGGGGAACTTTAAAATTAATTAGCGCTAAAAGAGATGGAGAGTCAATTTTACCATCAAACAATATTTTTTAAGAATTTAGTATCTAGGGCCTTTCGGCGATCAGCAAGTGAAAGAAGATTAAGATATTGGCCATATAATATACATTATTCATGTTGGGGATGAGGAATATCTAATACAAAACCAGCAAACCGCAAAAACCTACGTTGTACTCTTTCAACCAAACAAGAGTCGTTGGCTGTATGTGGATTCCAGATGATAGCACCATACTCTAAAATAGGATGAACTAACGTGCAAAATAGTGCTTTTATTACTAATTTAAGTTTAAAGTCAGAAGCTATCCTCGTTATAAAACTGAGAACCTTAAGCGCCTTACAACAAATCATATCAATATGGGGTCGAGGATCTAAAGAAGCATTAAATTTAATGCCAAGATCTATGTCAGTGTCATAAACACCAGTAAGGTTAGAATCGCTGATAAAATAATAATGTATTATGGAAGATTTAGAGCGAGTGAAAAACATAACTTGACATTTAGAAATGTTTAGCGACAAGCCCAGCGCCTCAAACCAAGTTGTAAACCGGTTTAAGTCATCCTGAAGCTTAATACAATCTTCCTGCGTATTAATTTGCAAAAAAAGCTTCATGTCATCCGCAAAACAAAGCAACTTGCAGTTGATAAGAGTACGACTAACTCCATTTAAAAATAGAGAATAAAAGGGTCGACAGATGCCCCTCTTGAGGATCTCCCGATGAGGCCAAAAATAAGTCAGACTTAATACTATGTACTTCAACCCATTGGTATCTATTAAGAAACCAACCTAAAAGGGGTTCACCAAAACCTGTTTTTTAAGGACTGCAAGTAATACTTTATGGTTTATTGAATCGAACCCCTTTTTAAAGTCTGTATATAAGACATCAACCCGTGATCGTTGCCGGAATGCGTTAAAAACATAATTTGTAAATAAAAGATTACAAGTAGTAGTTGAATGGGCTGGTAAAAAACCATGTTGTTCTTCAATAATTACTTTGTTGATGGAAGCTTGCAGTTTACTTAAGATAATTTTTTCAAAAATCTTGGAGACATGTGACTGAATGGAAATTGGTCTGTAACTTGAAATAACTGATGGACAGCCAGTTTTAGGGATAGGGGAGATGTAGCAGAATTTTATGATTGATGGTAAAATTCCATCATCCAAAGATCTTCTAAAAATGAGCCATATTGGGTAAGAAATATAATGTCTCAACTGGTAAATTAATTCACCACAGAGTCCATCGGGGCCGACAGACCAATCTCACACAAAGCTGTAAGACTGTCACAAATGTCCTCAACACTGAAATTAATGTTATTTGGCAAATCAAAAGTCTCGAAACTCAATTGATCAGTATCAATTTCAAAATTAGCGGAGGAGTATACTGAAGAAAAATAGGAGGCGAATAATTCGGCCGTTTTTTGATCGTTTGATGAAGTTACGCCATTGTAGGATAATTTTTTTTGGGTGTTGTTTGAATGATTACTATTATTTACAAATTTCCAAAAATTACGTGGGTTATTTTTAAACAATGATTCAATTTTTTTTGACATATAATCGTTAAAACAAAATTATTATATGGCACATTACAACATGCACTTTTATTTGCTTAAGGAAAAAATGTACAACTAAAAATGTTCTAAATAGTCTATACTAGAATTTAATTTGAATATTTACTATTGTTATATATGTAGTTTCTTGAAATTCATTTCGTTTTCTATAAAACGTTTTCAGAGTTATTTTTTAAAAATATAATAAATCAAATAAAAATACCTGGAGTATATTGGAGTTTATAGGAAATACTCGAATCATATCTTTTATTTTATTGTATGATAAAGGATTCATCTGTATTTTTTTTTTTGATGATTAAACAATTTGCCAATCAAAAGCTAAAGAATTATCACAAAATTGATATTATTATATCTATAACAGGGTGGATCAGATTTAAATGCTAATTATTATAATTTTTGATACAATTGATATTTCACTATAATTTTTTTTAAATAATATTCTTAGATTCTATCATAATTATATTTTAATTATAAATTTTTAATAGTGAACAAAAATTATATATATATATTTTTAATTTTTTTTCAAAATGGTCAGTTTTATCACCTAACTTACAAAAATTGTATTTATCTATTAAATATTTTAGTAAAAGAAAATTTCTTTAATTTTTTCCATTACAAATTAATAAAAATATTTGTTTAATGTTAATGGAATTAAAAGTTTGAAACGGATACCTTAAAGTTTGTTTATTATATATTTTATATGTAAATTGGATGTTTAAAAAATATCTAAATTCATTTTTTGGAAGAAATAAATGTAATGTAAATGTATTGAAAATAAGAACATAAACTTTACATGCCTACTTGTTTTTCTATATCATACTTTTGTCAATTAAATAATATATATTAAAAATATGTTTTTTCTTCATATTTAATCATTAAAATTCAAATTTAGTTAGCATAGCGTAAGATTTAATATAATCAAAATTAAATTTATTTGTTTTAAAATAGGTACATTAAAGGTTATCTAATATTTTAATGAGTTCTAGAGATCAAGCACTTTAAAATATACTATCTTTATTAATATTATATTTTTTAAAACTCTTTCACGTATGTTGATAGGCAAACTGTTTTCTGAGTTATTCATTATATACTGTAAAAATTAAATTAAATTTAATAAATACAAGTAGACAAAATTAAAAAAAAATTAAATTGAATTATTATTTATTTCTTTGGTTTTAATAATGATTAAGGGTTGGAATAATATTCTTTTAAAAAATTGAAAATATTATTTAGATATGATTAAAAAAATTAGTGAAATATGCTAAAATTTCTTTCTATTATGATTTCTACTCAATAATTCAAACTATACTTTTATAAGCATAATAGAAAAATTAATTAGATACTAAATTTTAGTTTCTTAATAAAAACACGTTCTATCCAGATATATGAATAATCTAAATTTTATAAGACACTCTTTTTCTATAAAATACTGAGAAATGTCTATTTTGGTAAAAAAAAAAAAATTAACTTGAAAAACTCTACTATAGTTAATGAATTTTTATTGTTATTTAATAAATTAACATTATTAGTATGAACTAGCCATTTATTATCTACATAGATTACTTGATTATATTCTTTGTAAAATTAGACACATTTTGGATTTTGATATTCTTGTGGGTAAAAACTGGAACGTCTTAGGTATGAAGGAAGTGGTGCTGGATCTCTTTTTTCAGTATATCTTGGAGAATTTCCAAGCTAAAAAAGTATTAACTAATATAATATATTGGTCTGTATTTTTTAGATTGTGTATATACAGAGTAATCAAAATCTTATAAGACACTTATTTTCTCAGAAATTATTGAAAATTATAAATTTTTTAAAGAGAAAAAATATTAGGTTTAAAAAACATTACAATATCATGTAGTTAGATCATTTTTTTATCACTTCTTCAGGATAAAAAATCCATATATTTAATTTTATTAAATGTATGCTTCGATGCGAAACTGAGAAGGTATTAATTTTTAATAGATACATTAGATATTTACCTATCATTTGGTATATATTTTTTTGTGAATCTGATCATTTTCCTGTATTTAGAAGTTGTTAAAACTTTAAACACGAGAATAGAAAATGAACCTTTTTGAATTTAATATTTGAAAATGTTATGAATATACATAATTTATATTTTAAATTAAACTGTATGTAATGTACTTCAAAATGAAAAAAAAATTTGAACATTATTTTGTCTTCATGGTAAAAATAACTACCGTATTAAAAAATATTCTATTTTTGTGTTATAGTTATCGGTTTTTTATTTTATTAAAATCTATACCTTATAAACTATCACACAATATTTAATTTTATAACAGGAAAATTAATTTCAAATTATAAAATGTAGTTAGGACTTAATTTAAGAATTCATTTAAGTTTTAGGTGATAATTATGCACTTTGAACAATAACGAATTAATTACATAGTAGTGAAGAAAATAGAATTATTGTTTATATTATTTTGATTTACTCTCTATTTTAAACAAACTCAGTTTTGTATGTACTAAATTTTAATATTTGTTAATCTAATTATAATACGGTAATTTATTATTTGATTTATCTATTATTATTAATTGATTAGTTAACAGTATAAACTTTAATATACATTTTCAAATCTCAAAACTATTATAGTAAAAATCATAGTATAATTTCAAATTCATAATTTTAAGTTTCTTTATATTTTATCTTATATCATCTTCTTAAATAGCCCATTCAAAAATGTTAATGGCAAGTTTTCCTTTCCGAGAGAGTAAAAATGTCTTATCCTATAAATGATAAAGAAACGCATTTGATCTATTAGGAGTAATGTTTTATAAATCAAACGTTTTCGTTTATCTATCCAAAAAAAAAAAAAAAAAATTCATTGTTATAATTTAAAAAATTTAATATTAATAATTTTCTATTTAATCTAAAAAATTGCCCTGTATTTGGCATGTCTAATTATATTTGCCTTTATTCGATGTTTACGGTAAAGTGGATAGTAATCGGCTGGAGATGGTTCCGAATAAATTTTTTTCATCAAATCTGGATGTTGTTTGTGCAAACATGATTTTTTGTTTTCTAGTTCGATAAAAAAAAAAACATTTAAAATAATATAAGTTTGTACTTCAAAGAGAGAACGGGGTAGCCGAGTATAAGGTGCAGACGAAGTGCAAGACACAAATACTGGGCGTACCAGATAAGGAGAATAACAAAGTACGAGGTGCAGACGAAGTGCAAGACACTAGTACTCTGAAATGTCGAGGAAAAGAGTATATAGGTTAGAAAAGGAATAAACAAAGACTTTACTTTAAACAGTAAGCCGGACAGCGACAACCGAGTACTGAGACTGATGAATGACACAAGGCACTGGAGTCGACTGACCACGATGGTCAGGTCTATTGGGTTTTTATAATAATTACAACTATTGCCGATTTGGCAATAAATATTATTTGTTAATTTATCAGTCTCAGGCAGCAGATGTGCTGTCTGTATTTTATTAAAATAATTCTCACGATTATGAAAACGTGACACCATCACACAACGTTAAGTTGTTCAATTACTTCGGATTTTTTAAATATTTTTTGCTTTTTTTTTTTGCTCAATGTATATTTTTTATATTTTATATAAATTATATCAATTATGGAGGCGTGGTAGAAACCTCCTCGGGGTGCCTCTGGAAACAGTGAATGAAGCATATATCAAGATCCTAACGGAATACTTATATAATGTAAAATTCGCTGGTCAATTCTACCACTCACGATCAAATGGTAAACGGCTCTTTTCAGGGCCAAGTTTTAAATTGGTGTCAATGAATATTGAAGGCTTAACACCTGAATAAGAGATATTGATATCTGTGATGTGCAGGAAAGTGGAGTGTTACGTTTTATGCGTTCTTGAAACGCATAGATCTAATCAACAAAACAGACCCAACGTAAAAGGGATGAGACTAGTGATGGAAAGGCTACATCCAAAATACGGGAGTGCAATATTCGTATACCCAAGCATAAATGTGATATCAATAGGGGTTACCAATGATCAAGAGGTAGAAATATTAACAGTCGATATCGAAAAGTGTATACTAACATCTATATATAAACCTCCCAATATAAATTTTGAATTTACTGAACCTCATAATTACACAGCAAAGAAAATCAAATTTGTAATAGGTGATTTTAATAGACATAGCACTAGCTGAGGATACACAGATAACAACAAGGATGGAAATGGGGTTGAAGAATGGGCTGAACGAAATCATTTGTCTTAAATACACGATGCAAAGCTTCCGGCGTCCTTTAACAGCAAACGTTGGCGAAGAGGATATAATCCAAACAACATATTAGTAAGCAAAAAAATAAAAGCCCAGTGCCATAAGTATTTGCTGTCACCTATACCGAGATTTCAACACAGGCCTAATCTATTGTACCTATGAAGAAGTTAGACCTAGAACCGTTATTATTCAGAGAAGGTTCAATTTTAAAAGGGCTAGATGGAATAAGTTTTCTAAGATGCTAGATAACGAAGTAAAATGTATCTATCTAATTTCTACCAATTATGAAAAATTCTTTAAAACTGTTTAAACAATAGTAAGGAAGACAATTTCTAGGGGATGTAGGTAAAACTACATCCTAGAATTAATAGGATAACACAGCAAGCAAATTAAACTCAGTCAAAATGAAAATTGAGAATAATTCTCTGTTATTTTATATGTTACATTATAGTATACATCTATTTTTAATACATCAGTTGAACCAATCAATAAACGAACCAAAAAAGAAATACATCAGGTTCAAATGATTTACTTTATTGTCAATAAGACATACTTTACAGGTTTTTACACGTGTACTAATATTTATTTTTTTCACTGATTAGTCTCCAATAATTAATTTTATTTACCTCTAACAAAAAATATCGAAAATAATAAATGAGTTCTCTTAATTTAAGAGTACTCAATATTTGACTCAAATTACCCTCTTGGTAATTATTTAGGTGGAATCTTTTGCTCTTAGTTAAAATAAAAACATTATTATTATTTTTAATTGTATTCTTAGTATTTGAAATACTTTTGTAAAGTAATTGAGTATTACTCAAATACTTTTGTATGAAAAGTATTCAAATAGTATTTTAAATACATTTTTTTTTTTTTTAATATTTGAATATTACTTAAAATACTTTTTAAAAGTATTTTTTACAACTATGCTTAATAGTTATACAAATGAGTCCTATAACGAGACATTTTCTGTTTGCTGACGACCTTACGATAGCCACACAAGGAGGTAATTTCGAAGAAATAAAAGAAACAATCAAAGAATCATTAGTCACATTATCTGAATGCTATAAACGAAATGTTTTAAGACCAAATCTCCACAAGACACAAGTGTGCGCTTATCATCTCAGAAATCGTGAGGCAAAGAGAAAACGGAACATTGAATGGCAAGGAGTTAAAATAGACCATGTGGATAACCCTAAATACTAAGGAGTTAAATTAGACCATATTCTGACATATAAAGTACATTGCGAAGATGCTGTGAAAAATGTTGCAACAAAAAATAATATACTCCAAAAATTAACAAGGACCAAATGGGGCGTTTGTCCAAACGTACTTCGAATTTCCGCTCTAGCACTTTGTTATTCAGCCGGAGAGTGTGCCAGTTCAGCGTGACGTCATTCAGCACACGCTAAGAAAGTAGACGTAGCCTTGAATAACACAAATAGAATAATTACTGGATGTCTGAAACCCACACCTGTAGGAAAAACACAGATTTTAAGCGGGATTGCTCCTTCAGATATCAGAAGAGAAGTAGCAGCGATGGTGGAGAGGAAGAAACAGATAAATGACCACAGACACCCCATATTTGGTGAAGTTCAAATTAATAGCCGGCTAAAATCTAGAAAGCCGTTTATCAAAACTAGTGAACCCATTATAGAAATGCCAACAGTAACAAGATTAAAAAAGTGGTAGGAACGAGTCACCAATAACGATATAAGTACAATATGGGGATATTCGACAGAATCCCTCCTCCCAAGATACAACTTACCATGGAATAACTAAAGAAAATATGTGCAAATGGAGCCTAACTACAGATGCGGACTTTGAGTGCGGGAACATGCAAACAAAAAAACGTCTATTGAAATGTCTAATACTACCAGTATGAGGAGAGATCGAGAATTTTAGAGGACAACAATTAAAATTGCCTATTTCTGGAAGAAGAAGGGAATTTAAAACTCTACCACTGACCGACACGAAAAGAAGAAGAAGATATCAAATATAAAAAAACCCAGCACAGGGGGGTCGCGGCACAGTTGTGACGTGGTATAGTTGGATCTAGTATAATGATATATGACAATGATTAAAATCACTATCAAAAATAAACGCTTCGATGCAAANAATGATATCTGACAGTGATTAAAATCACTATCAAAAATAAACGCTTCGATGCAAATCTTTAGATAGTGTTTAATTTAAAAAAAATTGGTGTTTTATTCCAAAAGCTACTTGATTTGCTGGTTCCTTAATATCTCGATTAAGATAAAGTATGTCGAATGAAAAAGGGTTTATTAAAAAATATTATTTCTCATAAAAAAATTGTGTGGATCCATAAACTTTTCAATAAGTTATAGCATTATAAAGTTAAAAATGTAAAAAATAAAATTGAGAATTTTCACACGAAAATAGCATTCAGTAGCCATTTTCGCCGTTAAGAAAAGTCCAGAGGTCAAATTTTTTTTTTCAAATTAAAGTATATTACATTAGCTTTAATTTATGATATATATAAAAGTGTCAGACCTTCCGGAACATTTTCAAAAGTTATGTTGAAAAAGTAAATTTTTTGTGAAAAAGTTGTCATTTTAAATCCCCCCCTGTGGGCAGATTAAGTGTCAGATTTACAAAAAAAATATACCAAATGATAAGTAAAGACATCAAACATCTATATAAAAAAAAATTATATTGATATGTTCATTTTTGAAAAAGTTAGAGGATTATTAAGTTAAAAATATAAAAAAAAATTATTTTACAAAAATCGTAATTTTTTATTAACTTTGATGTCAACTTTCACCACGAAGACAAGTCCAGAGGTCAAATTTTTTTTTTTCAAATTAAAGTATATTACATAAGCTTTAATTTAAGATATATATAAAAGTGTCAGACCTTCCGGAACATTTTCAAAAGTTAAGTTGAAAAAGTTCTACATTCTATATGCATTTTTTATATTTTAAGCCCCCCCATATATAGGGAAATAGTCTGATTTTAAAAAAAAGTATATCCAATGAAAGATGTATATAAATACTACTTCTCATGAAAAAATTGTATTGATCCATACATTTTTTAAAAAGTTATAGCACTTTAAAGTAAAAAATGTAAATTATAAAATCGAAAATTTTCACACAAAAATTGCATTCGGTAGCCGTTTTCACCATGAAGACAAGTCCAGAGGTCAAATTTTTTTTTTTCAAATTAAAGTACATTACATTAGCTTTAATTTAAGATATATATAAAAGTGTCAGACCTTCCGGAACATTTTCAAAAGTTAAGTTGAAAAAGTTAATTTTTTGTGAAAAAGTTGTCATTTTAAATCCCCCCCTGTGGGTAGAAAAAAGGTTGAATTTACAAAAAAAGTATACCAAATGATGAGTAAAGACATCAAGCATCTATATAAAAAAGAATTATATTGATATGTTCATTTTTGAAAAAGTTAGAGCATTATTAAGTTAAAAATATTTAAAAAAATGATTTTACAAAAATCGTAATTTTTTATTAACTTTGATGTCAACTTTCACCACGAAGACAAGTCCAGAGGTCAATTTTTTTTTTTCAAATTAAAGGATATTACATAAGCTTCAATTTAAGATACTATATAAAAGTGTCAGACCTTCCGGAACATTTTCAAAAGTTAAGTTGAAAAAGTAATTTTTTGTGAAAAAGTTGTCATTTTAAATCCCCCCCTGTGGG